CAGATGGAGAAGAATTCGCGATTTTTTACTTATAAAGTGCGATTCTTTTAAATAATACATATGTATAAGGCAGCACACAATTTATCGTATTTGTTGGAAACCGGATGAATATTTTTCATTAGACAAATTCTGTTGCAAGACTGCTAACGGTGGAGTCATCCGCGGAATCGAGGCAATTTTTCGCGATTTGTTGGCCGCAATAAATCGTTGCGGCGTATTCGATATGGCTCGTGATAAGACGATAGGTGCCGCCAAGCAGACAGATTACTAGGGGATATCGTACACAGATCGAATTCGATTTGCAATATTCAAAAAGGGGAGGGAGGGAGCTCGTTCAAGCAGAGGCGAGCAGAGCTTCGATTGAAAATAGTTCGGTTTCAATCTCGCCCATCTCGTGGTTCTCCAGAGCTCCTGAATAAACACTGACTTTCTCGTTCCACCTAACCCGAAATCAATTCTAGCGAATAACCGGGGTGTTAAGTTCGCTCAAGGCGACCTCCCTCCTTTCTTTTCTCGGTCGTTCAGGGAAGGGATTACAAGGGGTGAAATTTAAGGCTCTCTGCGGCCACTCTTCGGAACCGACACGCTCGAAATAAAAAGCCACGGGATAAGAGGCAACCTGCGCACGATGCAGTAGTGCAACCACATCCATCATCCTACGTGCGGATTAAGTCCTATCTACGGGATAGAATCTCGTTACCAAAGATGATGACGTGTGCTCGTCACATGACGTTGTATATTTCCTTCTTTGTCTCTTTTTATTGCACAAGATTCGATATGATACGCGGAATGAGCAAATATATTCACGAGCTGCATACCATCGCTGAACTATAGTATAACTCTCGCTCATGGAATTGGAATGGTGCTTGCTCTTCGGAAACTCTCTGTTCACCAAATATGTTTTCCTTGCATCATATCGAATTGCGTGTTACATCGATTACATCGTCATAAGTGCTCTAACGCGCAACAATTTAGCGGAAATATTTTATAGACGTAACATATTTTTTTTTTTTTTTAATATATAATTTAAGCGATTTTTTGCAGAAGTAAACGTTATGCAAATTAAAATCTTTTTTTCAAGATTGTTTTATAACGCGTCTCTGCATATTTTATGCGTGTATTATTAAACGAGTCACTTTGCAATACTAAGATTAAAAAAAAATCAGAGATTAACATTGCTCTACCCACATGCGCGTCGTTTAAGTTGCCGCGGATAGGATAGCCATAACACTTTTGAATGATGCATAACAACTTTTTTAAATATGCATAAATTAAAACTGCACTATGTTCATTTATTTAAATTTTAAATTTTACAAACTGCTCGCTTTGTTAACATGATACTATAGCATATTACATCTACCGTCACATTATATGTATATATATATGTATATATATATATATATATATTGTCCTATCCTTATAGAAAAAAATATTAAGCTATTGCAGACTAAAAATATAATCTTTTATATGACACGAAATACTGTAATAATGTAAATATAACAGTATATGACAGAGGAGATATGTCGACAATATTGTAACAAGTAATTGTAATTTACTTAATGCATTCGTATATTTTTGCTCGTACTTTCAGAACGTTGCGTCGCGAATAAGAAAGAATAGATATCGTATTCTATAAATAAGAACATTATGGATTCGATGTAAATTATGAAATGAAGACGGTAAATTATGAAATGATAACAAGAAATACGCCTAAGTTCGATAGCAGCTCGTTCTTTTAGATAAATGAACGTCACGTACGTAAAAACCGCACTTTTTCCGACAGCACATTCCTTAATGATCATAATATCGTCATAAATTAAGCTTTGCGGTCAAAATAGTTTTCGGTAATATATCGACGCTTTTAGTATTGGAATTTTGTTTTCAAAGCGTTGCTCAACGTGATAATTAATTTCTGTCAATTGCAGGAAATAAAGTTTCGTAAAGTTACGAAAAAAAAACCAGAATTAATGATTCGACGAATGAATTGAATTGAATTCAATTTCTACAATAAATAAAAGTACTCGGACGTACTTGTATTTTCCTGCAATCAGAGTGTCTCTCTATATTTACTTCTAATTTAATTATTTCATGACCGTCGACAGCATATAAGCCCACACCTGCATCCGACAGTAGTACAGGAACGTAGTAAATATATAGCAATACTATGCGACATACGCAAATGGTCGCGCAAGGTATAAATTTCCCCGTCCCTGTCTGGGTTTCATATGAAGCGTGCCATTGAAACGTGTTTTTGCTATGAATTCAACAAATATTTGCCCGCGTGACATGGGAAGGTTGACACATGCCGTTATGAAAAAAACCACGAGCGATAAGAGATCAATCGCGTGTACGTTATTTCACGGCGTGTAAAATTGCATAACCGTCGATAGAACAGAGAGTTACATAGGGGTTACAATCAATTTTCATTTAGCGATACACAGTGAAATCAATTTTAATCGCACCGTGATAACAAAACATCAATTTTCACGCGATATATATGGCGGTCTGTTAGCAATAGCTATTAAAAATGTCGCGTGAGGTATTAATTATTATATTTCTAAGCGTATCCCGCGCTTAATAATTGTCTCGATAGAAATTTTATTTTCGCTAAACGTAACTGAGCTCATCTTCATATATAACACGCTGACTTGTAGATATAAAAAAAACGTATGTCGATATTTAAACGAACTTTTATTGTCGCTTCTATACGTGTATATGCATCTGTCGGTACGCAAGCTAGTTCTTCTAAACGTTTAAGATATTTACAGGGAGAAATGATATTTCCAACCATCTTCTGAATATATATATATACAGAGAATATACGACTCGCGGCGCAGCGCTTCATTTTAACTTTTCCTCTCTGTTTATTCCACGGCCTCTCGGCGTTTTATCCAGCATCTTCTCCGCCTCCCTGGCCGATTTCTCCCTGCGTTTTGCTTCGCTTTCTTCCCGCAATATTTCTTTGCTTTCTTACGCGAGAGCGCGATTTTCCCCGACGATTCACCCTCCGTCTTAGTAATAATTGAATTTGCGTTATATCGGCGCACTCGCGCAACGTTGTTCCGGACGAATGTTTCGCACTTGAGGAAGAGGGAGGAATAAAAAGGGAGGAAGAGGAAAATATATATAAAACGTAACGGTAGGGCGGAAACGAGGAAAGTGCTCGTGTATTGTTCCTTTGCTATTGCGCAGCAATCCGATTAGACGGATCCGCGGTACGCAGAGTGGACTGCGAGAAGCTACCCTTTGATTTGAAACTTAATTTGCTCATCGAGCGAGGAACAAAGAAAACCAGCGCGACCCTTCGCGTAACAAGGCTTCGCTTTCGTCTTTAATGCGGAATTTCCTTCGGCTTATGATTTAAAGCATCATCGTATAGATGCATACAGTTATGTGCAAAATAATAGCACCGGTTGAAAAAATCAGGGAATTTGTATGTTTCCTCGACCATGTTTAATGACTGTATATCTAGTATTGAATTCTGACTTTGGTGGTCTTCGAACGAACGGACGCAATATACAAATTTCTCTCATTTTTTTTAACCGGTGCTATTATTTTGCACATAACTGTATGTCAGACATTAGGGATGAGTTTTTGTATAAAGAGTGTTGCACATATCTATGCACTTATAATATATGCAATTATCTAATTTGATAGGTATATGTATGTATGTACATATATGAGAGAGAAAATTGAATATATTTTATTTATTAATTGAAATTATAAAACTCGTATATTTAATCACTGGAATTAATTAACTTTAGTATATGCGATCTACGAGTTCATCGCATTTTAAAGTTTTGATCCACGGACATAAAATTGCATCGACACGAAATACGAATAACGTACAGGCGTAATTAATAATTACTCTTTTGCGCAAATAAAATGGATAACGAAACGAAACAGATTTCGTCAATCTTTTTTTTTCAGTGATCATCATGTAACAGAATATTCGCAAGTATCGACATGTTAATTAACAATTAACTTTTTGAATCTTATTAGGTATTCTACATAATATGAGCGAAATTAGTATATTTTTATCTGATAATATAATTTATCTGATTGTTAACTTAGTTCAATCAAAGTTGTCTTTAGTTGAAAAATAAATGAAATCTAATTTCTGTAGAAATAAAAATAATTGATCTTTTATTTAATTTATTAATCTACAGATAAAAAATAGAATTTAGAATAAAATTTCTTTCAAATCTAAAACATTGCTGAACTGTTACAAAAAATATATTGTGTTCTTAATCCGACGAATATTGACATAAGGTAAATATTGTATAAATCGAAATTTTTATTTAAACAAGAAATGTAAATATATTGCTATAAAACAGACGCAAAATCCATCAGTAAGATTAAATTTTGTCGCAATTATTTTTGAACTTCTGTTATATCATTGACGATACATATATCGAATCCTAGTTATCTCCATATATCTGTCAATGTATCACGTGCAACAACTGCCATATGCCATTTTTATCAGGCTTTTTGTTTTTTTCCCCGAACAAACGCAGTTAACGATTATTGCGCTCTTTCTCGGCTATCCGGTATTGTTAAGCCAGAACTATCGGTGAAAAAAGCGGCTTACGCGACAACGATCGATTTGACGTCGTTTACTTTCCCTTAACAAAAAGTTTTTTTCGTTCCTCGTTGTTTGCTGTACCGTATATGGGACCGGAGATTGTTTTCACTGTTCTATAGACTCCTATCGAAGTGGGAAAAAGACATCCTTTGTTTCCCTAGGTTTTTTGCCAACTCTCTCAAACAAACGATAGCATATATATTTTTTCAGACGAAACACACGTTGCGCTAAATAATTTACACGTGACATTGTTATATACTGTTATATTATACTCCAAATGCGCGCGATAACTAAAAAGCTCCACATCGTTAAAATAATTTTAATACTATTTTTATGAAATATTAATTATATATGCATCTGTGCTAATTGAAATTGTTATATTTGAAATACGATAATAGACATTTTATTGTTTCAGCACCACCCTTGGTTCAAGTGGCATTCTATAGAATCGTGAACGTTGCACTATCCCGAGACTAGAACAAACGTAAGTTACATTTTTAATAAATTCTCTTGAAGTTGTAATTTATTAAGCATATTATTTTAGAATTAATCGTATTTACCTAGCAAAAATTCTATTATTATTTAATTTCAACGTTTAATATTTATTATTCCGAATTCATGATCTGAAAAATTAATTTCTAATTTTATATATCATTTGTATCAATTTTGATTGTTAAAAGAAATTAACGGAATGTAAATATAAATAAGTTTATTTTAATATTTATAAATATAAATAAGTTTATTCATAAACATAAATTTATTTATAAATAAGTTTTTATAAATAAGTATTTATAAATTTTAATATTAAACAACTATTTGCGAGCGTAAGGTTTATGATTATTCATCAAATAATTATTGATTATGAATGCTATAAATCATGTTACTATTCGTGCCCTTTAAAAATATATTAATCGATATTTCTTTTTTTCGATTAATAATTTTTCTTTTCATTTTTATTTTTTTCTGAATCGATAATGAAACGTTCTGAATTCTAACGATAAACTATATGTTCGCAATATTAGCGAAGAGCGCATCTCCTCTCAAAAGTCCTATTTGTCATATCAATTCTAAGTCAAATGACAAAGCATCGTTGTAAACAAGACAAACAATCACTGCGACACGACGAGACGAACAATGCTGGCATTCGTCAATCACGAATGCTGCCCTTCGGTAGTTAATACCAATAGAAAGAAAGACGAAAGAAAAAGAAAAAAGGAACATGAGGTATCGACAACGCATTTTTGTTTTTTTGTTTTTTTTTATTATTGCACTGATGGTACTATTATAGTACCATCAAAAAATTTCTCATATTCATCTAGCTTTCGTAAAGCACAAAAGAGAAAAGGAACAAAGTAATCAAGATGAGATTCTCTGACTCCTTGTGAGTAGATATAGATATATATGTGAGGCAGAAAAAGAGCTAAATCTTCCCATTCGCCGGACTATTCAATGTAACAAAACAGCTATTCCGATGTCGAAAGATTACAGGGAAGGACAAAGCACATATGGCTCTAACAGTATTCCGAAATCGTAAACGACAAACGTCATTTGTAAAATAAATTTGCATATGGTTATTTATTATTACAAGCAATATTTTAAGCTATTGCGAACAAGGATATATATGATTGTCCAAATATTGGAATATATAGATATAGGAGTACGATTCTCGAATATTATTATAAATAACAACATATTTATGAAATTGCGATATACTCTGCTTTATAACGATTTTTAATTATCCCCGCATTATATAATTTCCGTAATCACAATATTCGTTGCGCAAAATATATATACATATATTTAAACGAGAGCTCGCGATAGATAACGAGTTCAGTTCTGGGAATTTTATTCGAAGCTCCGTGGATATAATTTTTTGCTATAATTGCGCACCGTCTCTAATAAGTTTTCTTCTATTAAAATGTATGTATAGGTAGCACAAACGGAGGTCTTCCACAACGGCGAAGTGTAATAATATTGTCATCGTATCGCGAATGCGCAATTTAATCGGCCACGCGGAGGGAAAACAAAGTTGTCACGTGTGGGAGTTTCGCGAATTGGTCTTCCGCATCGGCGCAGCGTGCGAAAGTGCGGAAACCGACTTTGACGATGCTCTGATAGTTTCGCGTGACCCGAAGTTAATAACCCCGCGGCGCCAAACTTTCGCGGACAATGTTCTCGGCCGCAGATTTATAAGATTCGGCCTTATTTGAAAAGTTTATGCAATTTCGCGGTCCCCGGCACACGGCCTGTAAATATTCGGTCGAACTTCGAACTTTCCGAATAATGCAGCTGAGGTTTATCGAAAAGGGCAGACACTACATAGGGATTAGATATTGGAAGGAACGTAGCATCGCATGTCATGAATTATCACATTGATATACCGATTGACGGCTTGAAATTCTGTCGAAATCTTATTAAAAATGAAGCTGCAATTAAACGCTGTGATAATTATATATACTGCAGTTATTTAAAAATATATTTATAAAAATATATTTATATATTGAATAATATATTTATAAAAATATATTTTTTTATATAAAAATATAAACAGAGTAAAAATTGTTGTTTTCTTTACATTGAAATTATCGAAATTCGATTGCAGCGCGTATCCATTATAACAAATAGCTCATATTTATTAATTTATGTTTATTTTTGAAGAAATTGGATTTTTATCTTTAAAATATTTTAATATGTTTAAAATGTTTTAATATTGTTTTATCTTTAAAACATTTTCTCGCCGATTGAAATTATTATATATTATCGACATATAAATATTATGTATAAGTACATACACATGCACTTTATAAAGTTCGATACAATATTAATACATCAAGCCATGTACTTAGTTGTACATCATATTTTTAATTAGTAAAAAGAATTTATTGGCACATACACATGTACGTGATTATGTGTAAATATAATAAAAATAATGGCCAAGAACAATGAATCTGAATATGACTTTCAATTTTATAAGTGATTTTGCAAAAGGGAATTTTCACGTTTTTCGTATTGATTTTTGCACACCCATTTCATCCTGTTTCTTTTGCTACTCTATCTTTAACTATCAAACATTTCTATTTTCGGAATTGCATTTCTGTGCAAAAAATTTCCCATACTTTTTGCAAGTATGTTCAAAGTTAAACTTTAACAGAAAAGAATTCAACAGTCCGTTGAAAGAGGTACCTGACAAAAGGAAATTTAACCGTTTGTAAAAAAATTTTTTTAACAATCTCTTCTTGTTGACCGTATAAAAGTTATTTTCTTAAAGAGAAAAAAGATCGATTCCACATCTCATTATCATAAGTATCATAATTTTTAATTCATCCATTCTCGAATACATCTCGCCATTTTGTGAAACAAGCAGATCAAAGTTAAAAATAAAAGTTTGCAGGTCAGAATAAATTTACATAAAAACTTTCTCTCTCTCTCTTCTCTGTCAGTTGAAATCGCTAAACAGTATATTCTGTAAATGGATGCACGATATTCAATGAGATTTTAATCATATTCCCGCAGGTAACAATTGCATTGTATACATGTATATTTGTATATATTGATAAGCAGATCTTCCTCTCATAAGAGGATGCAGAATTTGGTTACACAAAGGTGCATTATCGAATCCATGAAAGCGACAGGTGCATATCAACTTATTGTTAGCATCTCTATTAATATGTTCTATAACCCGTACGTTAATTATATTTGCATTAATATAGAAATTTGTTTTGTTCCAAGGAACGTGAGATATTATATCTAAGTATTGTATATACACACGTTCGTTATACGTCTAATAATAATATTTAACAATTCTTATAAAAGTACGCTGTATCTCCTAAGAAAATATAAATAATTGTTGTTATACTCCAGAATTACAAGCTTCTAAAAGCCACGTCGGATGTTCTTTAAAATACACAATGCCTATATTTACTCGACTAGCTTCTCTTGTATACACTGACGTATATTTTAAGGTGCCATGATTTCTCCTTTTAAACAAGCAGATAAAGAAATATACAATACAAATAAGTTTGTATACGTTTCTGCTACTAAGTCTATTAATAGTAATTGAATTTTTTTTGGACATCTGTCATCGCGATAACACATATATATATACATGATCTATTCATATTAAAATAGAGCGTTAATAAAAAAAAACTGTCACAAATAAAATCATTAAATGGTTAGCGATTTCTAAGTTGAGAGCGGCCAATAGTGGCTAACCACGCTGTCCTTATTCCTGCGATAATTAACTATTAACGACTTATCGAGGAAAAAAATGACCTCGGTCGAGAGTTCACGCGCCCCATCCGCGTTTATAATTAGAAAGTCGATTACCATGGTGCCCCCGTCGTGTCCCACGGTGACCCGACATAATGAAAACAGCAGCCCACGATAATTCACGGAAAACAACGCACTTTACGGAACCGATCTCGCACAGCGTTAACTAAATATCAAATTAACTAAATTCGTTTACTTGCTGCAAACCGGGATTACAGCGAGATGAAACCATCTCCTTCTTTCTCTCTCTCTCTGTCTCTCCAATAAAGTGTTGTACTATATAAAGTCATGTGTTATTATATCATCATATATATATATATATATATATATATATATATATATATATAACACACACACTTCGATATTCACGTTGATATGCATATAGCGTAATTCGTAATTCATATGATGCGTCGTCTGGTCTTAGCTTAGTCAATATTTATTGAGGGAATTGATTGTCTGCAGTCTGCTTAATACGCATAATTTCACACGATGAAATTGGATCAGTTGAATAAATAAACCTGACTCTAGACATAAATATATTGAACCGGCTATTTATTTATACCTTTGTTAAATTGACGTCTTGATTGACTTCAAATATTGCCACGTCATATAGAATATATATATATATAGTGTGTGTGATTATATAGATCTGAAAATAAAGAAAAGAGTAAAAATATTATCATATCTGGTTTCTCAATGTTTTATAAAAAAAAAATGTATAATTGCATTTTTATGTTGACTTATTTCGAACGTTTTTATCACATTTTTATTTTTAATTCTTATATTTTATCTTATTTTAATTTTCTCATTTTGATTCTTGACATATATATTTTGGTATGCATTATTTTAAAATAAATCTTTTCTATCTTAGATTTTATTATTTAATTTCATGATGATTTATTTCAAAAGGATTAAAGATAAAGGTTACTGCATTTCTTTATATATACTATATCCATCACGGTAGATCTCACTGCAAGATTATTCAGAACGTAGGCAAGAGATGTAAAACCCGCTCTTTTTAAATAATAATGAGCAAACCGCGGACTAAAGATTCTTAGTTAAACAATGTTTCGTAACAAAGTCAAGCTGGAGGTCACAATAATAACTTTAAATCCACTTTGTACGGAGCGATTACATCGAAAATGAAATTCTCCTTCTCGCCTCACGGCCATTTGTATCACGACTCGGTAATTTAACAAAAAGTTGCTCGCTCTATTTCGTTATTACGTTTAAGCGCTTCCAACTTATAGGACGAGGGAGGACTCTGACTCTCCAAGAAGTTTCAATGGAGCGCGCGCGCTATACATGAACGTTTTTCTCGTCGAAGTCCCGGTCTCCGGCGTTCATCCCTGTGCTTCGAGCGCTATCTCCAAGTACATATAACACGTATAAATCCGCCCGCCATAACTTCTTTGATATTCTCTCCGTAAGACGGCCGCCGCGTCGTTCAATAATCCTTGTTTCCTCGTCTCGGGGAAAAACTTTTTCCCTGCAGCTCTTCGGAGGGGCGAGCACAATGAGTTGCGCGTATTCCCGGTTCCTCGCAAATTACAGATTAAATCGCAACGCTTTCCTAGGAAGCACCAAGTTCCCGAAAACAACTCACGCGACTGCGAATCGCGTTTACGGGGTAATCTGCATCCTACTTAATACGAGGTCGCTTCGTGATAAAAGATCTGCGATTCGCGCCACTTTCCTCGCCCGACTTACTCGACGACTCGAGAGTTTTTTGGTGTTTATTATTACATTTTTTTTTTTTTTTTTTTTAACGCCCCCCATATTTACGAAAGCTGCATCGTAACGAGCGACTTTTGAGAAGTCACTTTCTAAGTATATCCGCCCATACCGACACTCACCGTACACCGATCGTTACATCCGCCAATCATCGACCAGTCTCGCTAGCTATATTTCGCGAGACCTTACTTTATGCGCGAAAATATAGGACGGTCAGGGGAGAGAAAGAGAGAGAGGGAGAGACCCGACGGGATAACCACCGCCTCCGGTATGTTGGCTCGCATGATTGATGAAATTTGTGTAGGAGCAACAGGGCATACTTGTGCCGCGCCGTAACCTCTCCGGGAACGGAATGTTCTTGATTGATAGAGGGTGTCCGAATTTGAAATTCCACCCCGAGAAAATCGACTCTCTCCTCTCTTTTTTCTCTCCGTATTGTTTTGTTTGTTTTTTTTTTTTTTTTTTTTCCTTTTCTTTTTCTCTCCCCTGTTGCGTGGGCACGCGAACGTGTCGGACACACGCACTACGTCCGCGTCAAGCAACTTCCGCATTTGGGTGGGAAGTTCCTTCCGGCACGATAGCACACGCCAAAGGACACTCGTCTCTCAGCCGACTATCGTTCATCCGGGCTAAAAGTCGCTTCGGTCCGTGTACAAGCGCCTCACTTTCTCCATATCTAACGTTCTCTTGTTGGTTAGCTATTTACAAGTCAAATGCGGTCGATCGATACCTACACGACTAGGTTTGAAGGAAAGGAGACCGCTGTCGCGGAAGAGAAACGAGAAATCGACGCATACAATATCACAACGGGTATCGTCCTTTAGTATCTTAGCGTTTGACATGCATAATATTAACCCCGTTGTGCGCTTTTTCCGAAAATATACCACGAAGAGGAGAAAACGCTCGCTCCGTATCATGTATCATGAGCAATATATATTTCGAATAAAGTGTACGCTACGGTTTTCAAAGAACGCTGTTTTACCTTTCGAATCTAAAAGCCGCTGACAAAAGGAAGGCCGAGGCGATATGTATGTGACAGGTTTAAAGAAACGATGCGCTCTCGCGTACACATTTATTCCGATCCCGGCCGGACCCCACCGATCGAGCTTCAAAAGAACTGCTCTCGCAGCCACCACGACAATAAAGTCCCAGGATTGCGAGCAAGTGCAGGCAACCGCGGCCGCTCTTTGTGGATAGAGACTTCAAAAAGTTCGCGGCACCCCGGCAAGTAAAGTCGACCGCGCGAAGCATGTATATGTGAAAAGTTGGCGGAAATCTACAACGGCACATAACGTCGGAACAAGTTTCCCGACAGGTCCCGGTGCGATCTTCGGCACGAACAGATTCCTCCTCCGTGACGTTAATTCGCCGTGATGCGCCGCGTTTGCTCTGTACTTCTGGGAACGAGAACGTTATACATGTATTTCACTTTTCAATAATTCCGCTGTAACGCTCGCCGACGATTGAACCATGTTTAATTCAAGATCGTCTTTCTCGCCAAGACAATTTCATTTTGTTTCAGCAAATATATAATAGATCGTATAGGTGCATAATTTATGTCATATTTTAGGATAAAATTAAAATTAACATGATTTTGAACAAGAATTTATTTAATCACAAATTGCCATTTAATGGGCAGCTTATCGATTCCAAAATGCATCTTCATCAAGTAGGACCTTTAAAATCATCTTTGGACTAGTCTGACAATTCTAACATTCTTTCTTAATGTATCGCATAAATCTTTCGTAGCCGTAGTTGCATTTTTACTCTTTTACAATTCGTAGAATATACAAGGTCTTAAACGAATTATATCGACTTCATGTTTATGTGCAATGAATTGAAATGAATAAAAGCACGTGAACTTACAAAAAGAGAGAGAGAGACAATATCAGGTACCTAGTATGCGACCAAGCTAGCGATTCAAATACAAATTTATAATTTATAATAATTATAATTATAATAACACACAATAATTATATAATCAAATAACTATATAATAATAATAATAATAATAATAATAATTTATTACGTGTCGAATATATGCGTACGAAATACGGCAGAAATGATGCGACGACTTAATATATACATTTGCAAGAGTTTGTAGAAAGCGTAAGCTAAAGGACAAAGTAGATAAAAAAAAAATTACTTCAACTCGTCAAATATTAACTCGGATGAAAATTTATATCGTGCTCTATCCATGAACTGTTTCGTATTGTTCCGAAATAGTTTTTGTCCCCATCAACATTCGCGACGTAGCTCGGATACTTTTTCCTTCTCGTTGATTTAATTCGCGGGAAAGACCTGGGATGAGAGAGAGTTGCGCCGTCGACGGGGAAGACTAATTTGATGCACAACCTCGGACTCCACGGCGATAATAAAAGGGTTGAGGCGTGGTACTCTAGTCGTCGCGTTGTATTAATTTAACTTTGGCGAAGCGCGTTGACGCGACGCCGTGTTGAGGAGTACGCGAGTGCTGTAACGGTATTAAAAGCTAAATTGCCAACAGTAGTCCCCGGCATGGCCGGAAATTAGCGAGGTTGACTAACAAAAATAAAAAAAGCGACAGACTCCTGGGAATACCAGGAGAGAGAGAGAGGAGGAGGAAGAGGAAGAAGACAGAGCGGCCGTAAGAGACGAAGAAAATCCCGAAGGTCTCCGCCAAACTGGCCTCGGAGTAGTAGTCGAATACGTAGTTGGACTTCTCCGATAACACGGAAAGTCGACTTTAGTCTCTCGTACGGTGAGCCACGAAACAACCTTGCGTTAGGTAGCGGCTTATGCTGCCCTATAAGAAGCAACGAGGTGCATTTAACACTTGCATATCGATCGAAGCTGCGCGCTTTGACAAAATCCGGATCCGGGAGAGCGCACACAAAGACATATTCTATAAAGTTATATAATATAATATAATATATATATATATATATATATATATATATAATTATATGTAATATATAATTTTCTATGCCATATGTATTAATGCGTTTCACAATGCACCGGTAAAAACATATGATGATGTTTATATCAGCATAAAATCATTACGTAACCACGTAATTTGCTCGGTATTAGTCAGGAACAATTATTTCAACGTATATTAACCAAAAGTGTCAAATAGCGTGCCGGATATTTGTATCGCATACAAATTATTCAAAATTATTAAGCACCCGCATATTATTTGGTAATAATTAATTCCTGCTGCATATACGTAATATGATTATTCGATCGTATAATTAAACAATGATCTACATTCATGTTCAACTATCAATAAAATGATGAATGCGCGTGAATCGCAAAACTAGCCTTGATAAATATTAATATCGTAGCTTTCATATAATATGCATATGCATATATATATATATATATATATATATATATATATATATATATATATATATAATGTACCTTGACGTAATGTAATCACGAAAGACGAAACTCCTCGTTTCGTCATATGCAATTCCGTTTAAGTAAATAAGTTGTACGGTCGCGGTCTCGCAGTCACGTTCTAACGTCATCGCCCACATTTTCTTTGTTAATAGGCTTCCTCGAGATGGGACCGAGAACGACAGGCTGGTGGTTGCTCTGTGCGGCGTTTCTGGTCGCCCTGTGTCAAGGCCACGAGCAGGACTGGTTGCATTGCCTGCCGATTTGCAGGTGCAAATGGGTGTCCGGCAAGAAAACCGCCGAATGCATTAAGCAGAATCTCACGCATGTGCCGGGAAACCTCTCGAGCGAGATTCAGTATCTCGATCTCTCCGACAATCGCATAAGTCATCTCACGTACAATGCGTTCGAGCGCGTCCATCTGGTGAATCTGCATAAATTGGCGCTGCGCGAATGCGGCATCGAATCGATTCATACGAACGCTTTCAACGGCCTCAAGATCATCATCGAGATCGATCTGTCGGGTAACAATATCCGTACTTTACACCCGGGCACCTTCCAGGAGACTTTACGATTACGGGTATTGTTACTCAATCAGAATCGATTGAAGGTGCTGGAGAACGATCTGTTCTTCAATCTCACCTTTCTGCAAAAAGTGACGTTGTCCGAAAACAGATTGGAGCGGATTGAGGAAAGGACGTTCCGCAGACTACCGGAATTCGCCTCCCTCGCTCTGGACGGGAATAACTTCAGTACTTTGCAACTGCAAAGCTTCGAGGACCTTCCTAAACTCGGTAGCCTCGAACTTCGGAATAATCCCTGGAATTGTAACTGCCATCTCAAAAGGTTTCGCGACTGGGCGATCGAAGAAAAGTTATACACCAAACCGACCACTTGCCAGCAACCGCCCAACATGGCCGGCAAGATGTGGGACGAAGTTACCAGCGACGAGTTCGCGTGCAGACCGAAAATCATCGCCATCGGCCCGGCGACCAAAGTCGAGATGGGCAGAGGAGACGTGACTCTCTCGTGCAAAGCAACGGGAATCCCACGTCCTCAGGTAATTACACTTTCGTGTAGACGCCGGAAATAGCGCTCGCGGTTAAATTAATCGTAGACCAACCGTGGATTTCGCTTAAAGAGTTTGCGATTTTATAGTTTACCAATTTTTATTTAGCGATTCTTCTACATTTAATTTCATTCTTAAGAAATCGATTGGCCTTATTGGTAAATGAAGTTTCCGATAGAGTTGATTTTTTTTCAAGCATCTCTTAGCTTCTTTAGGCGGGAATTAATGATATAGCGTTAAGATAGTTGTAAGATGAGTGTTATAGTTATTTATCTTATATTTCTTGGTTTAATAGTGTTTTCTGTTAATACTTTGCATTCTTCTATATCAAAGGAATTCTTTCCTGTTTATAAATAAATAAATTCTTTTACCACTACTCGTGATTATTTGTTTCAGCTGTCATGGGCCCATCGTACACGTGTCTTAGACCACTCTTCCAGACGTCCTAATAGCGACAGAGGCTACGTGCTATCAACCAGCCACGATTGGCTGAATCTCACGATTTTTGACGCGACGCCTTCCGACAAAGGCGATTACATCTGCCACGCTAAGAGCCCAGGAGGCGATGCCGAGAAGAACGTGACCCTGGCGATCGTGAGCGACGCCCTGGGCAGCAGAGACAACGTTGTCAACCTGCCACTCATTATAGGGCTCACGGTCGCCGCCCTCTGCCTGCTGATAGTCATGATAGTGCTTAGCGTGTACTTCTGCCAGCGTCGCCGGACCAGGCACGACGAGAAGGGTCTCGAGGCGGCGTCCTTGGAACATCACGGCCTTGGCGAGCAGGAGAAATCCCTCATCACCACCATCAATCCGGTGGTGAAGCCGCCGAGGCGCTACGAAGCACCGTCGGTGACGTCACACGGTACGGAGATGACGGAGCTGAATCGCACGTTGCTCGACAACGACTCCGTCTTCGGTCAGTACACAGCCTATATTACTAAACAGTGCGCGGCCAGATGCTAGCGAGAGATTATTCTACATTAGACTCGACGGATCTCGAAACATTCGCGGACGTTGATTGAAAATCGAAAGTCATCAACTTGATACGTATCTTTGATGACCCCGCGCAATAATATCGATCATTGAAGTAACATTCTTGACCCCTCACGGGGAAACGAAAGACGATATATGTCGCTTATATATAATGTACAAATAACGTGTGCGTGTTTGTACGTATGTGTGTATGTGTAATTATAAATCCATTTGTTTCATCTGTCGAATACGAGAATTCAGCGACGGTTTAATCAGGTGCCATGGATTTTAAGATAAGGAGAATCCGCCAAATGGGACAGTTAGGAGACTAATAAGGATTTGTTAGGAAAGTTTATGATACTACCGAGTATTCTTGAATATGTTATAACATCGTGCTGTGACAGCGCGAAGACGTAGGTCATCCGCGTTCGACATTATTGTCTAGAAATAATATTTTTTGTAGATATGAGAAAAAAGAGCAAGTTTTTTTTATTTAAAACGCGCGAATGTTAATTATATAAATTGCATAGTAAATAGCTGGAACGGTATATAATTGCACAAGTAATGACGACAATAAGGTTTACCAAGATTGTTTTGCGTATATCAACGTGCGAGCATTGTTAATGAAAATATTTTTCGACGAAATTACGCAAATAATTGTATGCGATAATAATAAAAATGTCAAAGACATCTTAACTCGATAAGATTATCGTCCGAAATAGCGAAATATTGTAAAAGAAGAAAACATAACTTGCACGATAACGCGAGATATTCGAAGCATGTAGCAAAGTTGATGAATGCCATATAAGTCTCACGGAGTAATACGATATCGCCGAATGTTTACGCATAATCAACAACCCTGATGCAACGTAAGTTACATTTTTCAAGCAAATTAATGAAGCGCGCTCCCGGTTGCGATGATATCGCGACTAATCCAATTAAAAGCACTCATTCGCGCTCATCAAGGATAATATGATATTAAGCCAATTTTCGCGTCAGGATCTTACTAAGGCAATATTCCGGCGATGCAACCTTGCCGCACGCGTCTGCATCTCGCAAACTCTCCCGCGCATATTTTTTTTCTCCCCGTTTTTCTTTTTCTCTCTCAACAACCTCTTCTTATTGTTAGATTTTCTTTTTTAACGTTCGCCCTTCTCTTTTGTTCATGTTCTCGCAGCTGACGGTGTCGGGAGCGGTGTCGTCGACAGAGTAGGCGACGACGAGAGGGAGCACGAACTGGCTACTCCGGAACTCGACGGAGGCGGCGGAGGCGGTAGCGGAAGCGGCGGTACCGGCGGCACGTTGCTGCGGGGGAGTGCCGGTTACCATCGACAATATCCACCGGACCTGCTGGCTTTTTCCGGCGGTCGCGGTGCATCGCCAACCAGCCAGACGTCAATGGTGACCGACAGCGTACGTCTGCCTAATCAACACGCGACGACGACGACAACGGCGACGGCGATGGCGTCGTCGTCCTCGTATAGCTCGCCGCCACCCGGCCAGTTTCATCCAGCCGCCTTCAAGACGTTGCCGCACAGTCGCAGCGTGACGCCGTACAGCTTCGGACCGTCGTCGTCCTCGTCATCGATGGCACCGGTGTTACCGCGTCACGGCTACGTGACGATTCCGCGACGACCGCGGGCGCCCAGTTGGAGCAGCGGACCCCCGACGTCGCCGACCGACATCCTCGAGCCGGTTTATGATAATCTCGGGCTGCGCACCACGGCGGACGGCAGCTCGATGCTATCGTTAAACAAGAGCCCGGAACCGGCGTCCATGCGGGGCCGGCCGCTTCCGGTCACGCCAGGCGGTTCGCACTACGGTACGATTCAACGTAGCACGCCGAACATTCTGACCGGCAGTCCATTGGACCGGGCGGCACCGGAAGGCGCGGCCGAGTGGCCGATCAAGCTACCGGACGAGAGTATGAACGGTGGCCATTCGCTGCTGACGCAGCAGCAACAAGCCGCGACCAGCAATACCCTCGGCAGGAAAGTGCCGCCTAGACCGCCTCCGAAACCCAAGAAGAAATCCGCCAACGGGCCGACGCTGTACGAAGACGAGGGTGAGGACGGCACGGAAGTATGATATCACGGGTATCGTCCGCAATGAGGACGATTGGTCGTAGTACGCCACGATGGGGAGCGTGCGACCACATTTACAATAAACCGGTAGTGCCTTTCGAAACGCGCGTTTTCACATGCGTAAAACTTCCACTTCGCTCGGTGAGTCGCACTCATCTGGAGGATGACGACTCGGGAAGACTTACAGCATCGGCTCGCCGAAATCACTGACGATGATGTTGAGACATACGAAATACGGCGATCGGACAAACGTGTCACCTGTTTCCTTCCTGCAAGTCATCTCTTCCCCTTCCTGTCTTTCCTGTAAATTATTTTATAAATTATTTATTGTATGCTGCGGAGAGAGAAATTCAAATCCAGTGGATCGTGCGATCCGTATGAATCATCTTTTTTAAACAGTCCGGTTATCGATGAGGTTCTCTATTCCTCGTTTCCTATGTATTATTTTTTCTTTTTTTTTTTTTTTTTTTTCGTCGAGTTCCTTTAGCCTTTTATTTGGCGCCAGCCACGCGCGGTGAGGTGATCACGTGATAAAGTGAACACATTGTTCCGGACACATTGTTGCCGGTTTAGTCGATAAGGCGAAACCTGTTTAGTATGAAATTTATGCGAAACAGGAGAAGCAACTGCTGCAAGTGCTGAACACAAATCGTTCGTGTCAAGAGCGATATCAGTGATTTCGTCTTCTTTATCCGTAAATGGATAAAATCGCGATCGTTCCAATACGATTCACATGTACAATATAAACGGAAATGTTAAGATTCAGACAAAGCAACGTTTTGCACATGTTACATTTATGCGGAAAACGTAATGAGAATTTAACATTGTTAAGAAATTATATAGCTGTTACATGTCATCCTGTCGCGTTTCTTTTTTTTTTAATGTCGAAATTCCGACGCTTGTATCGAATTGTAGCAAGGACCGTCGCATTTTTATGCAACGCAAACTCTCGAGCAAAGCTTACATCGAATGGCGTAACGATCTATGTCCCTTTCCCCTCTGTAAGAGCATTGTTACACCGAATATTCGTAGAGATATCCCGTACTCTGCAAACGACATTTGGTATCCTATAATCATTAAAAGATATCCTTTGCGAGATAATTATAACAGGAAAATGATATTATCTACTCCGTATACTTTGCATAATCAGAAACTGCAGTATTTTGTCAATTTATTGTTACAATTATTCTACTCAATGTATTTTAATCCACGCAAGGGGTGTATATTAAAATTGAAGATGATATCGACAAATGTCGTTAACAAAGTACGTAATATAATACTACTATATGAGGTGCCATGTTTTGTATTATGTTAAACGGATAAATCTCTATTACGGCAATGTATAAACCTAAAGTAGATGTAAGTGCGATGACACTCGAAAGCGTGTTTGAACCTGTAAGAACAAATGTATTATGAAAATACGATTAAGACGGTGTGCAACCTAAAGAAAAAATGTGTACGTAGGTAACGTCTGTCTCTGTCAACGCTAACTTGGCACGAATATCGTGACTTTGGAGTTTCGTATAAATCAACTATCGTCGGAATAAACGAGTGATCAGACTAACAGCGTATTTTGGAAATGTGGTTAATTTGGCGTCACTGTCCAATTGATCTTCGCCGCCACAATCATACTAGGTATAATTAACACCAAAAATGGCTAGTTTAATGTATATATACACCGCTGTATCGATCGACTCAAATTTACTTCGGAATTTCGTATTAATTGAACGCGCGTTTCAATTAGCAAGCAGCAACAGAATTTCGATTGTTAACAATTGCAGCATCGCGCATAATATCTGCACTGCGCGAAGAATCATTGATCGGAAGTGGAAACGAGCGTAGTATGCAGAGCTCGGATGCCGATCGCGAATCAAAAGGGACATTGCGGAATGCGAGGATAAATGTTAGATGGACATGATTTAAAAAGATGGGGATATTACGACGTGTCGTAAACGATGGAATTTAACGCGTCACTATTTTGAGATACGCTCGAACGCTGCAATTCTACCATCGACGACAATATATCGCCAAGTAGAACGTCCGTGCGAGCTATATATCATCGACGAACGAACGGACTTATGGTCCCGAATACCTGATGGTCGATAAATCGTCTCTTCTTGAAACTAGAAAACATGTGACTTGTCGAAGCGATTGTCGCGCGCGCGCGCGCATATATACACAGACACACATACACAGACACACATATACACAAACACACACACATATATTTTTACACACATACAAACGACCGAAGCGCATTTTTCTTTCGTTGAAGTTAATGCCTTTTTGACGGGGAACTCATTCGAGCTTGTCTTTTCTTTTCTTGTTTTTTCTGCGATGCGATTCCCGCGATATGAGTACAGATCGTCCCCACTTGCTTCCATTATCTTCTATGCCGGGGTTAATTCTGTCGATTTGCCATTTCCGTTTTCGCCATGCGACATCAAGCCGCTATACATCGTGATAAGAAGTGCTTACGTGCTTACACACCAGCACAAAGAGCGCCGCTTCACCCGTAGGTGATATTTCACCGGGGGTAAAGCGTGTAGGGTAGGTAGGTAGGTAGGTTGGTGGGTAGGCGGGAGAGAACGTTCTTTAACTGCGAATTTATCGCCGACGAGCTACCCCACTCTTTATGCTTTTGTTACCTTTTTATCCGGGAGATTAACGTTCTATTTCTCTGGCTTTAGCAGGGATTTTTCGGACGCGATTATATACAACTTGTTGCGATTGCGCGCAGGACGGCTGCAGTTCTCTCCTCTCCTCTATACTACCGTAACAAAGTGCCGAGTAGTCGGGAAGATGTATTTCCGATGTGAATCTTGCGCGCACACAAGCGTGACTTACCGTCGAACGATGCTCGAATCCAAAGGACGCTCTCGATCAGCGCGAACATCCTGTCTTTCAGACGACTCGCGGACCTGTTCGGGCAAAACAACGACGAATTCTTCTCCATAAATGTATTACGCGGGATCGTGTCGCGATATACGGAAGTGACGCACTTTATATTATAGATTTAACGAATCGATCGCTTTTTTCCTTTTATACAATTGTACGAGAAAATTTTAATATTTCGATATTAAATACTTTAGTACTCTTCGAACTAGCCAATTAAATTAATTTTTTTAAATAAAAATTACTTAACTTGAATATATATAAGTAAGTGAAATGTATAACTATCTATCATTTTATTAAGTGCTCTCCGAGATTTTATCAATCAAAAACAAATCTTTTGATTGTATAATATTATACATGCGTATAAATGCTGCGAATTTAATTTGAGGGAATAATTTTTTTAAAATTCTTTCTGTTTTTTTTTATACACGTTTCTCTTTTGAAGATTATTTTTTACATTTCTCTATCTCTCTCGATGACAGTTATCCCGAATGTGAGAGTCACAAGAGCATAGCGTGTGACGGTCATTGATATAAAAAAAAACAAAAAACGAAGGGCTTTATTCATGCCCACTTTATGTGCCGAACAGTATTAAGCTCTCGATGACTGCAGTTCCGAGCGCAAAGAAGGCGAAACCGCCCGGGTGAGACGTGACGGAGAAAATAGCGACGCGATCGTGTCGCCTCGATTTTTTCGTTGCGAGCGACGATTTATAGCGGCGCGATATGTATATTTGTATTCGCGGTAGCTTAAATAATGTTCCCAGTTTTTCGTGCCCTAGTGCCAACCGACGGCGATGTTCCCGTCTCCGTTTCCTCCGACGTCGAATATTTAATTTTTGCGCCTCTGTCTCTCTTTTCTCGCGATTTATTCCAGGTGGCAAAAATAGTTTTCACGTCAAAATGATTACTTTTGCCACCTGGGTTATCACTGTTCCATCCAATGCCTCGAACACGATATACATATATATGTATATATATATATGTATGTATGTATATCGCAAACGAGAAGTTCACACATTGACGTGACCACGAAAAATCGAGCTCGCACGATCGGAGAGAACGTCGACAGTATTTTAAGCGGCCTAGCAGAGTCGCGGATCGCCCTGCTCGACCACCGTGCCATGCCATGTACATACACACCCCTTTCTCTATCTCTCTCCCTTTCTCTGCACCCTATATCCATACACACTTGTTCATATTGTAAATGCTGTGCGCGATGGAAGCTAGCACGGCACGTCCGGTCGTTACGGCGCCACGAGTATATTTTTGTAATTTTGTATTTTGAATTGTGCTCTCCGCGTGTGCGACGTCTCACTCCGGTCCGGAAGCCGATTAGCGGCGACGAGAGAACCGGGTCTCTCGTTTCTATCGATATCACCATACCGTACATACGTATGTATATACACTGCGATCGTAAACCCCCGGATGCATAGTACTCGCCGAGGTGGGTATTGGAAGACCCACCGATGCACGTTCCATTTAACACTATGGGAAAGTGCTGCGCGCGTCCGACAGTTAACGAAGCGAATGTGTATATGTATATATATATATATATATATATATATATATATATATATATTTTGTATGTATGTATGTATGTACCCTGGTGCGCGGCATCGGGATAATTTATTGATTGTCGCCGAATTGTATCCGCCGAATCGCGACTAGCGAAACCGTCTCACCATCTATGCAGCTCTTACACCGCGAAATGTTCGACACCGAGCGATCACGATAATCACGGAAACTATTTCGAATCCGATCTCGTCCCTGTCAACGCGTATCTTCCTTACGAAGCTCTCTACAATTAGCGAGGATCTTGTTATAATCCTCAACAACGAAATAATTAAGATTCTTCGAGATTCTTCGGAGATTTTTATCCGAGTGATCCGAGACTCGAATAAAATTCTTTGAACGCTATCGAAATAATCGAATTCCCGCGTCTTTTTTTCTTCTTTAAAGAATAAAAGAGTCAGATTTATTTTGCATTGTTTTCTATATTGATTGTCAAAGATATTCTGTTCTTTCACATTTTTGCTAAAGATTTTTATTTCATCATTGGTCCAAGATTTTTTTATAAAATTGTTGAGACAAAATTGCTAGAGGATTGATGTAATGTATTCGAGAATAAAATTAAAAACACGACTTCTTCGTATGAATAAAAAATAAAGACAGAGATCATTTAACGCTTTCGCGATAATGTGGTAAATATCGCAAATTCTCAGCGTTCAATTATCCATCCAACTGTCGCATTGTTTGCATGAATAATAAAAGAATCAGATTTATTTTGCATGATTTTTTATTGATTGTCTAAGATATTCTAATCTTTCGCGTTTATGGCTAAAGATTTTTATTTCACTATCATTGATTCAGATTTATGATAATTATTGATACAAAATTGCTTGAAGATTGACTCGGGAATAAAATTAAAAACGCGACTTCTTCGTATGAATAAAAAATAAAGACAGAGATCATTTAACGCTTTCGCGATAATGCAATATATATCGCGAATTCTCAGCGCTCAATTACCTATCCAACTGCCGCATCGTTTGCGTGATATTTCAAATATGCACACGCACACTCCTCGCTTCCAATACCCTTCGATTTGTACGTGCTCGTGAAGTGTAACGCTTAATTTACATTAAAATAGCATATAATTTACTGACTGACACACAAGCAAACTCGTTTAGGCTATTTTGTAATGCTCTGCGCACAGGTGAAAATTTAGTTTCGGCATTTATCAGATTTATTAGTGGCGTCATTTTAATAATATTAACATATATTCATACACAAATTGTATCATTAATATCATTCATATAATTACAAAATGATCATGGTTATTCAAATTATCAAATAGTTTTAATGATCCAAATTATTCACATTAATTTTAACAATATTGCGGATTAAAGCATTTGGAAAAATTTTTTAAATATATCAGATTTCGCTTTCAATTTGCAAATGTATATGCTTGTACACGAAATAGCATATATTGATTTGATAAAACAACGCTTCACTCTCTGCCAATGAGCGGTCACAATCGAAGGTACCGTCCAGTAGACCGGTCCAATCTTACTTACAATATTCCAAGCAGTTATTTACGTGCGGATCTAATTAGAATACTTTTTATAAAACGCGTGTATTTTGTAGAGTACAGTTCAGTGACAGCATTCGTATAGACTTAACGTATTATGCCGAATACTTAGCGTTATGCATTTATGCAACATTCCGTGAGAATAATTTTGTATTCTACGATATTATATATAGCATGTAGAATATTCTATATATTCGAGCAGTTTAGTTTCTTCCCCAAAAAATCGCGCGAATATTAATTTAAAATTTTTAAAAATCAAATTTAAATGGTACGCACATACATTCCTGAGCCAAGTTGAAGATATTCGGAACAAATTTTATGCATTTACTTATTACACATTTTTTTACATTGGATTTTTATCAAATAAAAGTTCTAATGTTCTAATTTTATAGCGTGCAAAAGTATTCGGTAGATGATTTAACTATTTGTCTCTCTCAAGACTGACATTCTTAGAATTAGGATAATGTCTTCTGGTTTTATACCGGAACTCTATGGACGTAATCTTTTCGATTATTTCTCGATAAGAGGGGAATTGCATTTATACGAAAGCACATAAATAATCGCAATGCCATCATGAATGCCACCTAAATGAATTGGTGCGCTTTACATCGTAAAATCGTTTCTTTCTACAGAAAATATATAATTTATCAATTTATATATACATATATATATATATATATTTGTATATAAAAATAACAAAAAAATTTATGCGTAAAAAGATATAAACAGTCAATATTATCTTATCACCGAACGTTGATTGAGATTCTCGAATGGACTCTCAAACTATGTTCGTTTACTTTTATAACGACTCGTTAAAAAAAACGCGATCGTTATTTAATTTTTAAGTTTTTCTCATTACGCACGAATAAAATTAAAACTGCCTAATTGCTACATTTAATGGCGCTAAATGAGAGATAAATATAAACATGCATATTTGAAGTAACCATACAATAGTGGTGCGAAACGCAAATTACGTTTTCAGTATATAATATATATTTATAATAATTTTATTAAAACATGTTGAATTATATAATGTCGCATAAGAATTGCTGACTGACTCTTCAATAACTATGTACATTTCTCTACGAATCATCATGAATCATGAATAAAAAAAAGGAAAATATTTCAACACAGTTTCGTATTTCGAAGCATAACGAGAGGGATGTGAGATTGTGGGAGAGATAATAGAAGATTGAAAAAATCTATCGAGATAAGAGTTACAATGATAATGTGAATGTAAGTGATTTATATTTGCGTGTCATGTTGTAGATAATAATCTCTCTGAAATGTAACACACATCCGCATTTCCGCGAGATTAGTTAGATGGATTTAGAAGTATCCACGATCGCGCGCGCGAGAAAAAACCTCGCACGATTGTTAACGGAAATATTTTTACCGTTATTCCTATTAATATTCTTGTAGTGACTATTTGTATTATTATTATTATTATTATTATCATTATTGCTTTATCTATTACTACTATTTTTTTAAAATCAATATATTTTTTAGCTATTGCTATACGATTATTATATTTGCGCTATTAAGCATTACGTTATTAATGCCGCTATTTTATTGTCGTCATTACTGTAATTATTTATGGAAAAGATACCTTGCCTTGTAACGAATGTTTCAATTTACAGTGGTTCAGTATGAAATATTTGATTGAGTATGATTTGTATGTACAATGTATTAACATAATAATAATACTGTGGCGCTGTAAATATTATACATATTTTATAAATGAAATATTTAGTGTGATTGTAATATATATTACAATAATGTACTAAAAGCACCACTCTGTACACTCCACTAAATATATGGATTAAATTTTAATAAATACTTCCCAATCCCATATAACTGATACATATTTCTTTCACTCGCCATTTTTTAAATGTTTTTATTTTTTATTATTTATTATTTACACTTTTTATGATTTATAATAAATAAATAAATAAGTGCGTTTTTTTAAAATAATGTATATTTTTATTGATGAAAATATAACATACTTTTATCTCTTATCATTTAATTATATCTTAAAAGTAAAAAATATTAAAATTTTACAATATAATATCTCTCTTAAACTTTGTCTTCTTTGGGCTCTTTCTTTAGTTTCGATAATGCAATGTCGCCATATTTCTCCATCAATTCTTCGACAAATTTATCCTTCAGTTCTTTAAGACATCTGTAAAATATAAATCACTGAATAGCGAAAAGACACTTAGCGGTTTCATTTTTATTCTATCAAGAATGTCTGAAACTGCTATATATTTAAAAAAAAATATATATATATATATATTACCTTCTATAAACAGAATCTGTCCTAAATTTGCCGATGTCTAAGCTAGGGGCATGAGGTCGATGGATAATAAAAGTGTCTGGTAAAACGATATACCTATAATTTTACAATTTAAATCGAACATTATACATATTGTCAGGGTACATATAACATTATTTAAATGAACAAAATTATCGCAACTTACTTATAATTTAACGCCGTTAAATGGGTCACATAAGAAACTTTATTCCAACCAAATCCAACAAATCTTGTATCATATTTCGGAGCAAATTTTGAAACTACTATATAAGGTTCGAAATCCGGCTCCCATGAAATCTGCAACGATTATATATTCATATTTTTCTTGCATATGTTTATTATTATCTATGTATTTTTTATATCGATATATTCAGTAATATATAAATTATTTCCCAGAATCTAGTGCCATTATATATATATATTTTTCTTAATTATACAGATCTCACACGCACTTCGTAAGGTTCCGTGCTATTTCGCCAAAAACTATAATTTGTAGCAGCGTGTCCTTGTGTCCAAACATGATAGCGAAATGTGTATAAAATACCACGCTTAAGAAATTTCAGCAATTCTTCTTTGTTAGCGGGGAACGTAAATCTATAAGAAAATAAAGAAAAAGAAAGGCGATTTCTATATATGAAAAAAAATCTATTCAACGTTACAACAACGAAAAATTACCTGTAACGCTCGGTTTCGAATGCTGGTACGATCAGAGCTATTTTATCGAATTCATTGATATTTAATCGAATAATATTGTTCATTAGATTTTCATACAATCCAAATTGCGGCAAAAAGTCGACATCGAGTTGAAAAATGAACGGGGCAGATACGTACGATATCGCAATATTCCTCAAGTAATTAATAGGATACAATTCCTGGGCGAAAAGCAATAATTTCATAAATGAAGAAGAAGGGATTTTATTGAAATTTATTGCAATAAATAATTAAATTTTCTCTTTCATCTCTAGGTGCAATACACCACGCGATAAATCGTGATACATTTAGCGCTAATAAAGAATACAGCTTTATAAAGTGTCGTTTTAATTTTTAGTTAGCTATACTTTAAAAAAATAATTCAATTTGCTTTAACACCGCTGTAAAAAGTCGCGTCCGTTTTATCGCGCAATTAAGCGATAAATTCATTTGTATTTTTAGCGCTTTTAAAATTAAAGACACAAAACACACCCCGTCTTTGTACACGACGTGATAGGCGATGTTCCTTCTCGCGCGTAAATCCGCGGAACCTCGCACAAAGTTCAGGAAATATTGAACCTCCGCGTCGGTCAAATAAAGGGCGACACTTATAGTCCCAGGCCAATGTTTCGCCAATGTTTCCAACAGCGGTATCCTCTCAACGCTACACTGGGTGACTAAAACAACATCCGCTGACGAGTACACGTTGTATTCGTACTCCAGTAGAAAGAGATACGTGCGATACAAAACGGTAGCGCCTTTCTCGAATTCTCGACAGGGATTGGATTCGTTGTACTAAAATATGCGGGCAATAAAAAAATCATTCGCAAACGCGATGAATATATCTGAAATTTAAATGAGCTCAGGATACTTTGGAGCATCTCGACTCACTGGAAGTACACTCTCGTGCTTGTCACAGCCGAATAAGCGCTTTCGCAATAGATTGCCATCCATCTCAAGGAAGACTCGATGCAGTTTTCGAAACTCATTAACGTGCTTATTGTGAACGTCCTGCTTACGCGGGGAATTCCAATGGAGGATCTAAAAGTAGACGATGCCAGTCCAAGTCAAGTCGATCGATTCCTCTCTAAACGAAGAAATTAATGGGCGAGAGACGTACGTTTATCCGATTGGTGTCGCGATAACAAGTGTCACTTAAAGTGTGATCACTCAGCTGTATATTCCAAACACACTTTATCCTATATACGATATTCGGTTGCTCGTTGATCACCGCGTTTATTACATCCTGATCAGCCAGACTGGTCTCCGATATGTATCCTAGCACGTGCCTGGTGACGTTATTCCACGAGCTCGCAAATTTCCTATCGCGTAGCCGTCGCAGGTGCATCAGCATCACACCGGTGTTGAATCCCCGACCTAAAGCTGGCCACGGTCGTTGACCGTACGACAACGTCTTTACGTACCAATTGCTCTGATTTTCGACCAAGCCTAAGGTTTGAACGGCCGAGAAACTCTCGAACATTTTCCACAATGAATATACGTCGCTCATGACAGTCACGTCCGTGTCCAACACGAGTACTTTGTCCTCCCGCATCGCATCCGGTAGTATCAACTTCAAGAGACCATAAACCCCGGAGTAATGCGTGTTCGGGATCCACGAGACCATCGGCATCCATACCTCGGCTCCGTAGAATGTCACGTTCACTAAAATAATCGGATCGAGAACGATCAAACGAAAGAGAGAGAGATATATATATATATATGTATATTTCCCTGATTTCGTAGGATAGAAAAAAACACACAATCTACCAAGCAAATATACGTGTTAAAAAAAGTAGTTCTGTGAAGCTTTTGAAAAATTTTGGGTTTAATATAACTTTTTTCATGTAATCTGTATGTTGAAAATTTAAACTGATCTAATTAAGTGAATTTAACATTGCGTGAAAAAAAGTAGATATATCTCTCTCCCTCTTTTTTTATGTATATTTCGTATACTCTTTGCGTCAGGCTGTTAACGCACAGACGTGGATAAAAATTAGGTTTCTCTCCTTCCATGTGTACGTCACAAAGAGATGCGCGTCCTGTCGTAAAAGCGTACAAACCATGCGGCAAATCCCACGTTTGGAACAAAGTTGAAAGTGTTCTCCTCGCAATTTCGTCGACGAGCAAATGAAAATGCAACGGATTCGTACGATAAAACAGAATAGACTTCACCACGGTTACGAGGGAAAAGCTGGAATTGTAACCGGCGCACACCATAGCTATGTGTATCGTGTCGCACTTCACCTTGAAAAGGTTGAGAATGTCAATTCATCGGTACGCTGATGAATACTAATGAAATTAAATATGCAAGCATACCTCGAAATTGTTTTTCAATTGCGATCGTTCGAGAGAATAATCTTCCAGCAAATTCGACCTTTTCACTTCTACCGACAACGACCGCCAATTTCTTTCAACGTTTGACTTTCTTACCTCCACGGAAGGGACTAGAAACAACATTCTAATGTTCTCAATGTTAAAAAATGAGATCGATATAATAACGTTCACACAGTTGTTTTACCGTTTAATAACAGGTACAAGTAAAAAACAACGGATGGTATTAAAATCCCCAACAGACATCTTAGCCATGATCGAGCCATTGTAATATGCCGTACATATTTCCCAATTCGCGATATGATGTCTCAACAAATTAGACTAGATGTACGCTGAAATGTACGAAAAAAAAATTAATTCAAGATTTGTTTTCCTCATGCAATGTCTTGAAAATCTATACAAGCCTCCTTACTATAATAATATAGAAAGAAATTTCTCTTTCATACTTGATAAGAGAGAAAGAGTTAAATCTATAATCTAATTATTAATTCATAGATATAAACTCTAATTATAGATACAGAAGTGTTGAAAGATGCACTGAACGATTAGATAAAGTTTCAAGCAAAATAGCAAGTTTGCAAAAATGATGCATTTATTGTCATTATATAAAAGTTGAGTGTTTATATATATATAAATATAAAAATCGAAAAATATATTGTAACTCTTGAAGATTTTTTCACAAATCGTATGTCTTTTTCTCGATCTGTGAAAAAGTCTGAAGGCTACAATACATTTTTCGATTTTTCATACATCTTTAAGGGGGCTATAATTCAAAAAGAAAGCATTTTTGAATTTATGTGTTTATAGGAATTTTTTTCTTATTTTGACTCGTAGAACATACTCTTAAAATCTCTGATACAGTTTTAAAAACATCCTGTGTATATATATATATATATTGGGAGAAAAAATCGAAAAATGTATTGTAACTCTTGAAGATTTTTTCACAATATATATATGTATATATATACATATATATATTTTGTGAAAAAATCTTCAAGAGTTACAATACATTTTTCGATTTTTTCCCCCAACTTTAGGGAACTATAACTCGGAGGGAAAGCATTTTTGGACCCATGTTTATCAGAACTTTTTTTCTTATTTTGACCTCTATAGAATACACTCTTAAAATCTCTGACAGTTTTAGAAACACGTATAGTACAAAGAATACTATTGCAATAGATACACATGCTCCGATAAATATGATACCTACTAAATACATATGAAAGTCAATAGATCATGTTTAACCTACGAGTTTATGAATGCGTTATATCCAATTTCCCTGTGTTATGTAGGTATAGCATTATGAATGCGACGCAATCATAATGCATGTAAATTAGTATCGTAAATGAAAACGTTATATTCCTTGCGTAGAGAAATTTCGAATAATTATACCGCAAGTGCGAAATTCATGCATCAGCATTCGACACATGTCAACAGACAAAAGGTTCATTGTAAATAGTGGCGATAACTAAACAAAGCTTGGACATTAATTCTTTGTTGCCCGATATAATTTTCAAGTTATCGATTCTTATTTTATTTTTGTTTATATGCCTTTTTTATATTTGATTTTATTTTACTTGTTTTTACTATACATATATTTGAGATCTTTCGAAGATCCAGAAACAATTTTAGACAATAAAAAATACATTAAAAATTTATTTTAAAAAATAAATATTTATTAACGTTTTATGTAATTGCGATAGAGTAAACATTCTGAATCATAATGTTGCATATGTAATTATATAGAATAATTAAAAAGAAGCTTGAAATTAATTTCAAACAAAATTAAAGCGAGAATTAATAATGAGAAAAATCTAGAAAAAATTTTGAAATATTATTTTAGAATAATCATCTTCTGGCTGTTCGCGTATATGCATGTGACCCGGTTTATTCTTGAACAGTGATGTACTTATAACATACGTATTTAATGGCACAAAAAACGCCGGAAATTTCAGTTAGCTTCTCTCATATAAGCTGGCTTCGCATACTATCCACACATTTGCGGTTTGCGATAATACAATAAACGATAAAATTATTTATAAAATACGCAGATTAATTTCGATGATTTTATTCACCAAAACATTTAAATATGAATATTTAAATTAAAATAATGCAGTCTCGAAACATTGCTATCAATATTTACAAAATGCCATATTAAATATTAATGTGAACAATACTCATAAATACGTAATCATAAATATAATAAATACTAAATCTATTGATGAAGTGCATATTTAATGGTGTATTTTGTTTGCATTTCAATAAAAAAGAATAATGTTGGAGTCACAAAAATAAATTGTTTCTTAATAAAGATACACCGAATTATAAAAAATGTAAGAAAAAGTAAAAGGCTTGATGATAAAAATTTCAATCTGATAATAAAGTAATCAGCTACGATTAGAAATATTTGCTCGCATTAAGATTAAACAATTACTCCAAAAATGAAATGCCATTAAAATTAATTAAAATTATTTTGATAAAATTAAAGTTGTATTTTTATATTTCAATAAATCAATCTTAATTTTTATTTAAACAACATTAAATTAACATCTAAAAAACAGGTGAATCAATAAAATCGTAATCACTAAAATAATTTCGTTATATTGAAAACGCATAAAAATTATTTTTCTTAATATAGATAATATTATTAACAATAAAATCGAAATTTAAATAAAACAAGAAAAAGAGATATTAGGCTGTAAAAATACTTTCTTAAATTTATACCGAGTTTTCTTCAATTATATATAAATTATTTAGTAGTTTTCTAATTAAAATTATACTTATCTATTTTAATTAAAAAAGAATAATGGATTCGAATGTTTTGCACAAAACAAAACTCAGAAAATATAATAAACATTTACTACCAACCGGTGCTTTTTACTGCTGCTCGTTAAGCCGCTGCTAACACAGAGTTCTAAAGCAGGACCCTCACAATGATACGCGGGTAATAATGTGATTACCAGTACGTACCAGCGCCGGCTCAATTATCGTCTCTCGTTCTGTCATCCGGCAGCGTCCGTCCCCGGATAAGCGAAAGTACAGGTCACAATTTCTATATATAATGTTGATACGTATGCGAATGTCGTCGTGCTCCTCGGACATTCAATGCTGTCGATGTTGTTCGCTATTATTGTCGCCAGAAACGATGTAAATTGCCACAATTAGTCGTTAAGAACGACAACACACTCCCGCGGGTAAAAAGTACGTAACGTAGACACTCCATTCAGCTCTCTCTCTCTGAATGACGCACATCACAAACGCAGCTACCGCCGCGCGACTGAAATTCTTACACTGACATCAAACAACGTGCCGTCGGCAACCCCGTGCAGGCATCCTTGTCGCAAGATGGCGGTCGCATCTCTAGCACGTGCAACGTGCACGCACACGTGATAACCATTGACAGCTGGCACCAGCTGATTACCGCGCGCGCAACCCACGTGTGCCGCGTGCGCCGCATACACGATTGCAGGCCTGCAGGCGTAGACGAGATCAGTATGGACCGACGGTATAACTCCGTTTCACAAGCATATGCACTTTCATATCTCTACCTCCCAGGATAAATCCATATAAATTTTTCATATGGAAAGAACTTTATCGTCTATCTCTCGTTCGTAATTTAAAAAATTTTAAAAGTGTCCATTTATTATTTTAACTTGATATATATATTTTTTAATATAACTGATCTTGAAAAGAATATCTTTTCTCTTATAAAAGTATATTGTTGACATATAAAATTTTCGTGATGTCTTATATGTGTATTTGTCTCCTATATCCCTTTGTTAAAATATAATTAAATAAATTTAAGAATGAAATGTGTATGATGTTGGATGCACTTTCGTATCTCTACCTCCCAGGATAAATCCATAAGTTTTTCATATGAAAAGAACTTTATCGTCCATCTCTCGTTCGTAAATTTAAAAAATTTTAAAAGTGTCTATTTATTATTTTGACTTAATATATATTTTTTAATATAACTGATCTTGAAAAGAATATCTTTTCTCTTCTAAAAGTATATTGTTGACATATAAAATTTTCGTGAAGTCTTATACGTGCATTTGTCTCCTATATCCCTTTGTTAAAATATAATTAAATAAATTTAAGAATGAAATATGTGTATGATGTTGGCTAGTGGTAAATGAATAATAATGCAAATGTATAACAGATATAAAAATTCTACATTTCTAAAATTTTAATAAAATCTAATTGATTTCTGTGGCTTTACTCGGACTGTAGGGAATGGATTCCTCCTCTTCAATTTTTCGCATTCGTTGTAGCTCTGCTTGTCGCGTTCTGAAAGACAATTATATTATGTTAGAATTATATATACATGTGTATAAAATTTCGATCTTGTAATTAATAATAACACGAATCTAATATACCTTGCTAAGATTTCTTCTTGTTCCCGTTGTTCTTTATGGCAATTCAGGATTCGGTACCCGACGCAAATGACTATCAATAAAATTGGAACCAGACAAGCAAGCACTATCCCAGTTGTAATACCTGCTTGACGAGAGCTGTATTCTTGCTTACCTAAATAATGAAGAATAATTAAAAATTATTATTTAGATAAAAATACTTTTGCGATTTAAATACATATATTTTATTAATAAGATGTAGAAATTTTGCAAGATTTAAAGTAAATTCTCGCGCGAGCTATCCAAGAAAAATTTTAATTCACTTAATAATCTAATATGCATGAACAGATTTTATGATAATGTAAATAAGATATTTAAATAGAAGAGGAAAAAAGAGGTTGTCGTCAGGAAAAATTCACGAAAACTCTGGTGGAAATTTCCATTCCATTCTAATGCTATTAATTCAATTGCTGCATCGTAATGCTGTGAATCGTTTCCATTAGTCCATATATAAACATTCTGTATATGCATGTGGAATAGAAATTTCCCATATTATTTAACTAATATATATAAAAAATTTATTAAAACAAATTGTTTACAACATGTGAACACAAGTATATGGCATGAATTGTGACAAATGTAATTGTTACAACTATGTAAATCGGTTATGACAATTAAATATTAGATGGCTGTTTTTGTATTTAAGCGTCGCTTATTTAATATTTTTGAAATGTATCAATTAGGATTTATATCAATAAAATGATAATATTTGTACTCAAAATACAATTATTATTGCAACTATTTCTATTCCACAGCAAAAACAGTAATATACTTAATATCTACATACATATAAATACTGAATAACGCCGAATGATATAATAATATTATATTGTGATTATATCGCCCAAAATTTAGTTAATAAAAACACATGTATTTACGATTAATTTGTTAAATTTTGATCGATGTCTCATGCCAAATTGAATCTGCGGTATTAAATATATACATATATGATCAATATTAATTTGACGTATGCAAAATGTTTAGTATTTGAAATCAAGATGTATGTATATACTGTCATGTGATATCTCATACATGTATACACGCATACGTCACTGCATCGAAAACTGCATCGAAATAACGATACGTACTAAAAATAACTTCAGTAAGCAAAATATATCTCGTTTCTATTACAATGCTATTGAACCAAACGTATTATCTGAATCTAAACTAAACGTCACTCTCTTTGGCGGGACTTTGGGCAGTTTTTCTAATCGAGTCCGCGCCTGAATCTGACCCCGTGGGTGAGATGGGCTCCTTCAGATCCATTTCTTTTTCCTCAAAGTCAATATAAGGTCTATTAGGTAGAGGTTCGTTTGTACGATATACTCTATCGTAACTACGGCGTTTCCTAGTGCTGCTATTAGTTTCACTTGTGCTAGCATCGCTAATTGGAGTAATAGCCCTATCGTCAAATGACTTTAACAGCGTGGTCTGCTTCAACATGGACTCGTTGTCGATACCAGACCCACGCTCAGAATAGCGCCATGATTTCGTGGAACCTCCTCGCGTCTGGCTTCTTCTTATATAAAAGAAAGCACCCGCGATGCATGCCATCACGGGAATTAACACGACGCTAATAATGCCCATTACGGTCCATGCTGTACGCTGAACGTACTCGATGCGACCTACATTTATATAATAAGCTTCAATCGCGTATATATGTGTATATGGGAAAGTACATTAATTTAATAAGTAGAAGAAAGCAACAAAGGCAACGTTAAACTGGACGTAAAATATTAAAGAGATAAGAAGAGAAAAAAAGAAGAAAGACACAAAAAGTATGTTAAATAATTCAGCAACATTTAACTCTCAGCAATTCTATAAACTCGCTTCGCAAAAATAGAGACTACAAGCTTAGACTCAATTTAACTCTTAAAACAAATTGATGAAACTTGGTACGTTTTGAATTACAAACGATCCGGTAAATGCGCTACCATTTAATACACTTTCTCTATACATTCTATTGTATTCCGTTCCTTATTCTCGTTTCAGATCGTTAAGCAGGTACTGTGAGATTACAGTGGAAAATTAATGAATTCAATAAGCTATACTCACGAAGACATTCCGTGTACCCGTACTCCGGAGTGTTCCACCGGCCTTCCGGTGTGCACACCCGACGTTGATCACCGACAAGTGTGAAATCCTGATTGCATTCGAAACTCACTTTCGCCCCCGGGGTAAATAGGAAATTGCTTTTACGTCCGAACCGTGGTGTTTCCAATACACCGCAGGATACAGCTTAAAGATGGCATATAAGCATATAATGAATAATAAATTAAGCTCTTAAATATGTATACATATACCATATGTATATGTAATATGTCTATTCGGGAATAATTAAATTGATATCAATTATTCACAGAGGAAATGTATTGTCACACAATTACTTACTTTCTTTTTTATTTAACGCGCTGATTTGGGTGTAAGTGTCGTAATAATTCCTAGTAAAATGCGCCAAGTCTCGATTTAAGGTCATAACGTAATCATATTGACATTGATAGGAATCACCGCATAAATCGATGGCACGATTTATGTCATATGTTCTATTCACTGGAAGTATCTCTGTTGGATATTTTCGATATTCTGGTGTGAACGTGCGATTAGCATAATAACTCGCTGTTCTACCAAACTCTCTGTGGAATAAAGCAGCTCCCAATAGTTTGCTCTCTTTATCTTCTAGCATCCAATGTAAAGCGAAGTCTTTATGAATAGTCTCCGAATGATTCACGCTGTTGACAGGGACTTGATATCCCTGTGGATTTCTCAAATCGTCTGCGATATCGAAATTCCAAACCCCGAACAGTCCTTGGGTTTTATTCTAAAATTGAAAAATAATATCCTCTAGTCATGCATTATAATTTAATACTGAATATTTTATATATTTATTAAATATGATTTTTTTGTGAAGCTTCTCTTCAATTTTATGGAGCTTATTACTTATGAATGAATTTTCTTTACCAGATATGTCCACGGTAGATATAATCGAGTAGACAAGAAACCCTCATTTTCCACAACTTCCACACCAGCACCGGTATCGAACATGACAATGACTTCGCTCTGATTCAGAATGTATGTCGGCGTGTAAACAACGACCCCGGGAAATGTTGGAATTTCAAAGATTGTCTGTCAAAATATACTCTTTGACCATCCGCGAAGACATCGAGCCGATATCTCCATTGTGCATGTGGGGGTCTCAAACGAACTTCAATGGTGGCAGAGTTATTTCCTCTCGCTATACAAGACATAGGATTATAGCTGTATCTATTTTTTATTAATAATACAAATAAAAATCTACTTAAAAGTATAATTTTAATTAAAATTAATTAGATCGTTTTTGTACACAAAGAGAATTTTCTCTTAAAATTTACCCTGAAAATACAGTATTATGGTAATTGTGCGACAATATGGGAAGAATCTTATAACAGATTCTCTGGTTAATATTCGCCACAATAAAAAATATTAATATGTACATAGTAAAATTTACTATATGTACATCGTAAAATTGATTGAACATATTTTATATTTTATTGTGATAGATATTAATATTTTTATTGTGGTAAATATTAATTCGAGAAACTCTTATAAAATTCTTTCAATATTATATTATCTCAGATTACCATGATTTTCAGAGTAAATTCTAAAAGAAAATTTTCTCTGTGCAGATAATTCATGTAATAATGAGTTTAAAATTTACCTGCTACCGAGGTAAGATGCGTCGCCATCACTTGGCCGTAAGCATTGATGGGCATTTGTTCGAATCTACCTTGCACGTCGAGCTTGTCTCTGAGATCGTTTACTCGTAACAAGACAAATTCACCTTTACCATTGAAAGTATACTCCAGACCGTCGAACGTGACAAAGTGGGGATCACCGAATACAGTCGCTACACCAGGTGATTGATAGGCAATGCAGTCCTGCGATGGTCTTCTCTCGAATCGGAATGTCTCGCAACCGACCGCTTGTTCCTCTTGCCAGAGACAACACGTATACATTGGAACCACATCGTGATACCAATGTGAAAGAGTTGGTACCTTGTTAGCCTCGTTCCACGGGAAGTAGCCTAAATTATGCGATCGATGCGGTCGCGATCCCCATTGCTGATCGTAAGTCAGCATCAGGAAATTATTTTTATCGTAACAGCATTGTTGTTCCGAACCGTCCAAGCTGAAATAGTATAGTAAATACATGAATAATGCTGCAGAAAAGATAGAATGATCCCAGAATTATTTTGAATATTTAATTATACAGACAGCTATTTATTATTACAAATTACAAATAAAAGGGCAATTTTTTCACTACTATGTGGAGGATAAATATAAGTAATGTTTACTTATCTAGCATTATATAATTGTGTTTCTAAAATTATTTGAAAAATAAAAACCATTTAGCACCTAAAATAATCTAGTTCGTTCAGTTGGTCTATTCTTATATTAATTTTGAATTTATACAAGCCTAAATATGAAATATTCAAATAAATATAAGTAATCTTCAAAGTATAAACTACTTACTTGGGTGCACCTGTCCTCACGCAGTGAGTTGCATATTGATTGTAATAACAATCTATGTTCGAATCTTTGTCGCAGTTGTAATCGGGAAGGAAGCGACCCTTATCGTACAAAGCGTGCTCCAGAATACAAGGACAAAGCGCTACCTCGGCGGCGAAGTTCTTAAGATATCGGTCGTTCATAATCCACTTATCGCAGAGTTTCTGAGACCACCGTGACCCGTATAGTCGTTCCCATTGAGGAGCAAAGTACCAACCGATCGGAATTGGTCTGCTCCACAAGCTCCTATAAAATTAAAATTGTTCAAACACAGTTCAAACCATCGAACCAGAAACGTTTTGACGAATAAAATAACACTTACGGTGTTATCGAAAGTCCAGAGTACAACTGCGGTTCGGTCAGATTGATCTGTATGAAACCGAATATCATGTCTCTGTGAAATGGATTGTACGCGTCTCGGTATTTCTCTGGTTTGATGATATAACTACCAGTATTGGTATGCGATTTCTAAAACACGTATAGCGCAATGTATTTTTTTTTATTAATTTTATTTAATTTATCTCGCTGTGTCTTATCTTTTCTACTGTATCACATAAGTCACGAACCTCCAAAGTCGAAATGAATTGAAATTCGGGCCTTGTTGTGGTTTCTCTATATCCCCATAACGAAATTTGTATTCCTGCCCCTATATTGGTCGTCAAATTATACGCGTTCCACGTAAATTTGATTTCTGCCGGATATTTCATATGAATGGCCTCTTTGTCGCTGAAAAAGATCCTCTCCGTCGCTGTAGCTGGGGTTTCTGAGCAAAAAGAAATTTTACGTGATTTTTATTATGGGAAATAAAGATATTTATTATTTTGCACGCTATTACGATTTTAATATCAAAAGATAATAAGACGCGCGTGTATAGAAAGAAATAAAAATGAGATTAAGGTAAGAGAGAGCTTACCAACGAAGTATTTGCCTTTCCAATCGTACGTTCCACTGTCAATGGCAATGTAGAAACGTATGTAGCCTTCGTATTTCAAGAACGGTTGTACGCAAATTGCGCGATTTCTGTCTATTACGGTGCCCATAACTACCTCGTTCTCGAAGCGACATTTGATCTTTTGCGACTCGTTGAAGCACGGTCCTGTGATGTTGATGACAGTTCCGCCTAACATATTCCCGCTTTCCGGAGCAAAAACCAGCGGCAAGTGTGCTCCAGCTGTGCATATCATTATACATTGAAATAAAAATCATACTTTGTTATTTGTATAATATTTTTAAAGATATTCTGCCTCTTACCAATGTCCTTATTGCAAGTGCCCAACATTATTTTTCATCTATCCTGAAAATATGTCGACCTGGAAAACCATTTGCCCATCCTCTGCTCGTTAAATCGCGGATTGTGGTCGCCTGAGAATAAGGCTTATATTCATAGCTTTGAGTGCCATTTCCAGCGTTAAAGCCAACCTACAATTTGTACGAATGAATTTTATTAAATAACTTTATATTATAAATCTCCTTTTCTCGACGAGATACATTTATATTCTGTTTTGTTAGAATATTATCTTATGCAAGGGATTTATACATCAAATATTACACGCGGAGAGAATTTCCTCTTAGAATTTACTCTCTATAAAAATCATGGTAATTAATATGTACATATAGTAAAATTAATCGAAAATATTTTATATTTTATTGTAGTAAATATTAATCAGAAAAACTCATAAAATTCTTCCAATACCATAATTTCAAGGTAAATTTTAAGAGAAAATTCTCTCTATGTATAAAATTAAATTTAAAAATGTTACAGTATTTATAGAAATTATTCTCTCGCTTATTATTTGCTGGAAAATAAATATTCTGCGATTACTTACGTATGCAGCGACTCCGTTTTCGCCTTGTGTCGTATCGCCACCTGCTTCTGTGTGACTGGTCCATTGTATATTCAAATAATTAAAAATGGCATAAGTAAAAACTTCGTCTGTAGCCAAAACCAATTGGAACGTGTTAGTTCTATATAGGGACTGGTCGATGCCGCCAGCAAAGGACATGTTCTTCCAGGTTGCAATAAGGGCGTGTTTAGGGATGAAAGAATCAGCACCGACAACACCCTGTCTTATGTCCCACATAAGACGCTCTCGCATTTCTACGCCAAACTGATCATTTCTCCCTTGCAAATCCCTCTCGAGTCTGGTAAAAATTTATTTTCTGTATATTACTTCAATTTTTGAAGACTTTTTGTCTTTGAAGATCGTAAAAATGTTTAGAATGTTACGCTAATTTGTATATTTTACGTGCACATACCTAAAATAGACTCCCGGTTTTCTTTGATCGATATCTGTTTTCCTTAATCTGCCTATACGACATTTACTGAAAAAAATGCCAATGAAACTGGGATCGTTTTTTCTAGGCCAATCTTTGATCGGAAAAACAAGAGGATACGTAAGATACTCCGGTGGATCGCTAAATTCCAGGTATCCGTTAACAGTTAACTAAAATATAATATAACATTTTTTTAAATAATTTTCGACAATGAAAAAAATGTTTATTTATAAGACTTTAAATTCTTGAAATATTTAGATATCATTAATAAATTTTAACATTTCTTAAATTTAACATTTTAAGACATGGATATACATAAAAAAAAAATATATATATATATATATAATGTATTATAAAAATATATTATGTATATATATTGATAACTTCTCATAAATTAAAAACTTAATTGTAATTTAAATATCGTTAAAAATTATACAAATAAGTAAATAACAAATGCGATCGTACTCTTGTATAATTGAATCTGAAGCCAAAGAAAGGCAGTTGAAAATTCAGATTTTTGTGGATTTGCAGCGTTGTCGCCTGTAAAGGAGTTTGATAATCTCCCATATCATTATCACCACCTTTATCGAAATACCAGTACATAAACTTGGAACGAATCTGCCTTAATCTCTCTTCCGTTATTGTATAAAAAGATGGATTATCTTCTGGACGAGGCGCATATCTATCAGCCTCAGGTGAATCCGAATCTGCAAGTGTGCATCAAACAAAAATTGATTAAATAATACTATTAAAACTATAAAATCAACTACATAATATTAATTTTTAAATTATATTTTATTTAATAATATTTTATATATAGTTTTTCTGAAAAAAAAATATTCTTAGTGATAATATTACAGAACGAATAAAATTTTATTATATCTTTATATTTTTTTTATATTTTATTATCATTATATTATATATATACATATATGTATATATATATATATATATATATATATATATATATATAAAATAATCGAGCAACACTTTGCAGTCGGTCTTTGATCACATTAAACTATTTGATTCACTCATGATGAATTTATGATCTATCAAAATGGTTCGTCTTATCCAATGAATCATTCTTGATTCATGTTAAAGTGAGTAACTGATAAACACATGATAAGCTACAATATAGATTGTCTCGGCCGCATGTAAAATAAATTACTTTTAATATGCGAAATTTGTGCACCAAATTAAACAATTTCTTTTAATAATGAAAATTTGAAGAAAAATGTATGTATGAAAAAATGTGATGTAAGTAAATTCTGTACTCATCATTTGCTTACTCACATTACTCATTACGAAACGATGGTCACACCCATTGATAACGAAAGACTCTTACCGTATCTCACATATTTTCCATTTTTCTCGTCTGCCATTTTACCAGAAATAGTTTGAACAAACAAATCCTTCTTATTCGTGGGCAAGCTTTTAGGTACAAGTAAATAATTAGTATCCGATGAAAATTTGCTCAAATTTTCCCCGATTGGAGCTTCATCTTTTTTCTCAATTGGAGTTGAAGTCTTCTCTTCTTTTAGTTCTTCTCGAGCGAGATCTTCGAGCTCCGGAGAAGTTTCCGTTCCTTTCTCGTGCAGCAATTCGATGTTCTCTTCCGCATTATTATTTGTAATCGATTCCAATCCGAAGAAATTCTCAAACGTATTATTTTGCGCGTTTATGCCACTTGGTATTAATGAAAGGAGACAAGTGAAAAGAACGATCCATTTCGATAATCCGAAAATGCAATCGAGCTTCCTCCATGACGCTCGAAGTCGCATTTTCGCGAAGCGGTGAAACGAAACGAACTAATTACTTTAGTACGCACGACGAAACTGAACTCAGATTCAGGTAACACGCGATAACGGTCTACTGATATCATCGGTTCTAGTATGATAACGTACATTTATCTCTTTACTACAGGTAGATAGATAATACGCAGCACATTGAACGAAATCTCTTCACGCGTTCTACTTACTTAAAAAAGGGCGTATACGAGTGCATTCGAAGCACTTGTTCAATAAATCAAACAATTGAATCATTTATAGTCTATTGTCGCAAATACATTAAAAATCGACATTTTAGAGGCAAATTATTTATTCCATTTCTGCAACTGTCCGATATTTACAAAGCAGATATTTTTAGTACGATCGGTTCGGAAAAATGTACTAAAATTTTTTTTCTTTTCTTCTTGCGGACGACAGATTTTACAATAAAACATGTGCAGTATATATAGCAAATATATCAAGGATACCTCGCCTTTAAAGTCACTATTATTAACTTTTTACACGGACGCATTACTTATGCCAGAACATTCGTTATATGTATAATAAAAATGTATGACTCTTATATCAATGTGTTTTATATATATATATAATATATATATATATATATATATATATATATATATATATATATATATATATATATGGTTTAACTTAAAAACGCGGGGAGAGAAATAACTTCCATCGCGGTTTTCTAAAATGATTTTCTCATACTTAAAATGTATCGCCCTACAAATGCATAGAATAAATATATATATGTATATATATATCAACAGTAATAGATACGTCTATACATAATGTAGCATGTACATTGCGTTTGGCTTGAATATACGATGTTAAACGCCTTTTGTATGTGTCATTCCAATATCTAGATATGTATACTGCAAGGATGTTAAAAGTGAAGGAAATTATGGAATTTTTGTACTGTAATGGTATCTTATATATCAATATTGTCCAAATGTTTACAAAAAAAATTATATTACATATTTTTTATTTGCGGTTTAGTGTTGTAAATATTTTCGATTGGTGGTACGTATCACAGAAGGAATCTATAAAAGAGTCACAGACTTATATTGAATCCAAAAAAAATTAAAAAAAAAAGGTTCGTAGATCTGAAAAAGAACATGTCTAAATCGACTTTCAAGTGGAACCTGCAGCAATGATGTCGATATAATATTGCGGATATGAACCATACACTTGATCATTAAGTGAAAAGATTTTTTTGTAACATTTTATTTGTAATGAAATAATCTCTCTGTTACGATTGATTCTTTCTTTAACATTACGATGTCGAGGCATTATCTCCATTACTGTCCATGTATCCGCTAGATCCATTCATGACAAATGACGTTCCCAAACCATATAAGTGTCCACAATATTTTGCATCATCAATATTATCCTCAAAAAACATCTGGAATAGAAATCAAAGATCAATGTAAAAATATAAATATATATTGCTAATTTTATGAAAAATTATATTCCACAATTATTTTTATTAAATTACGTTATTTACCTCGCGCATTTTAAAAAAGACCATTCCAGTGAGAAGAGAATCAGACCCGGCTTGATGCTGAGGACCTACTCTTTGAATTTCCAGTTGTTCTGCCACTTCTTGTAAACCACCTTTTAAGTTCTTGCACGATTTCATTAAGTACTGTACACATGAAAAAAAATATATTATAAAATTTATATATATTTTTAATTTTATTTATTTCTTTTTAAAAACTTTTACTTACTTTTACATCGTATATCGTCGGAAAGTATATCCTCAATAGTTCGAAAAATTCACTTTCCTCCTGTGGCAATTTCTGATCCGTGAGAAGTTTCAGCAAATAACCAAAGTCGTAGCCAGAATGAAAGGATAGCCATTTTATGTCATCAACAAGAACAATTCCGGATGTCATTAGCAGTTCGGCAAATTCTAAAGGATCGATGCCTTCCTCTTCATGTTTTTTGAACTGTATACCACTATTTTGTAGCATGTCTATACTATCTTGTGCATACATGTCTTCACTAGAAACAATAAAACATACATATTGTCAAAATATTGCTTAAAAAGTTAGAGAACTTTGCATATATAATTTTTTTAATTTGAAAAAAATACAACTATAGAATTTATAATAAGTATTAATGTTAACTTACTGTAAATTGAATTTAAAATTAAACTGCCATGTTGTGTAGCTACCGCCAGGCGTATTCCCCGATTCATCAAGGAATGTGAGACCAAGTTGAATTATTCGCAAAAGATCTACATTGCAACGTAAGAGCTGGTATTGATAATCGGCGTTAGTTCTGAATTCACCTGTTCAACACAAAAATTCGTAATATATGTATATAAATTTTAAGAACATGTAACAAAATTCTTTAAAAGTGTGTATTCTTACCAATAGGCCTAGCTACAACACCGGGAAATTCTGTATCCATTGCAATGTATTGATATTGCTGTACAACTTGACGAATTGTGCGAAATTCCTCTTCCAGATTGTGTCCCCATACATCTCTAATACCACATTCTTCATTATTGGGCATAGTCCCTCCTCCCTTCTGCTGCCCTATTGGGTTGGTCCCACCTAAAAATTTTTACAATCAAATAACATCCAAGAAAAAGATGAAAGAAATGATAAAAATCACAAAGATATTCAATGTTTCTCTTAATATATACAGTTAACTAATAAAATATTAGTTTAATATTTGGTAAAATTCTATAGAATGTAAATTTTCAAAATTTTACATAGGTATTATTGTCATAATTTAAATATCAGGAACATACAAAAGTAAGACACTCTAATAAAAGTTTTTTATAATTTCTAGAAAAAATTCAAATATATATAATATATGCAGAGTTATAAATGCATATACTAAAAAAATTCTTTATTTGTAATTAAAATTACATGGTTTTTAATTAATTGTTTTCTTGTCAATCTTCAAAACATGGTATTTTGAGCTGCACCTTCTAGTAGATGTGCATCTTTTTCAACATGTATTATCATATCATTATCATATCAACAAGACTTCTACAAAAGACTTCCTTTATTGCATGTATTTTCATCCACTTAAAACCTGCTTTTAATTTACTTTGCTTCTTTATTCCTGCAATATGTATGTCCTTTATTTCTTAACTTGGCATATGTGCACATTTCACTTTCATTGTTCCTGATTCAGTGTCAATATATGTGACTTTCAATCTATAGAACACTATTAATAATATCGCACGTATAAATATCATTTGCATTAGTTCTATTGTGTGAAAGTTCTTATATACACAAAATATTATTACATTTTGTGCATTGCAAGCAGACCTGTTACATTTTATGTGCATTTTACATACCGGTAGCTGAAGGCATATTCCTGCATTCACCGAGGCTACTCTTATCTTCAAATTCACTCTGTCACGGCCTTTCCTTCTTCATATCACTGTAAAAATTTACAGATAATCAATAAAAAACTGCTTATATGTTTGCTTAAATGTGATTAACTAGACAAAAACTCTATTATGCATTCTATATATGCTATACAGGAATTATATTTCATAAAAAGTAACAGTTTGTACTGTAAGCTCTCAGTCAGTGACTGCATTAGGCAGGTTATGGATCATCAGTAAACAATAACAGTTCATCACAGTAGACATCGCGTATAAACAAAATGCGAAATAACGCAAGCGCATAAATAAATGGTGAAATCAAACCACTCGGAAGGAACGAAATATAGCAAAATTGTTTGTTAAAGTGAGCTCGATAAATTTAGTGAGAAGTCAGGTTATATGCCTCGGGCACACAAGAGGGTCGTTTAAGGCTCATCGCGAGGTAACGTACGACAAATTGTACCTTTCAGTATGATATTCTTGGTCAGCGGAGTTTGAGTGTGTAACGATTTAATCGAGGCGACACTTTCAAAGCCACAATCTTGTTGTGTCAAATCATGAACGGTTTGAACGACTTCTCCTGCTTGGGAACTCAGCTTTGTACGTGTGACACGAAATACAGGCGCTTCGATCGCGCGATATCTCACTTAAGGGGGCAACCTTGTGAAGGGTTCGTTCGGAAATTCTATTCGTGGAAGTAGCATCAAATCGACCAATGCGGACGAAGAAATCTCCGCTCCTTTTCTCCCGATTGGTCAGTGATACGCTGCTTTATCCTACGAGTAGAATTTTCGAACGTACTTTAAACGGCTAGAGGCCAGCCAGTTTCCTGTAAATCAGCTCCTGTTTAATGTCGCCATCTACGTCTAAGTTAGAGTCTGAATCGTAACTTCAAAATCTTCCAATATTGCCGACAAAATCGCTGTCTTTGGTGAGAGTAATATATATTATAAATATCATATTAAATACTTATTATTAGACATGTGTATCATAATAAATATTCGCACGATATTTTTTTTTTAATTGGCAAATTATTTTTTCACATTTACATGTCTTACACGTTTTACAAAGAGTATTCGAATAATAAATATATATAATATTTATTTAGTTGCGCAAATAAAAACGGATGTTTTTTATCATCCGATTTTATTGAATCTAGAAAAATGAATTTGATATAAAAATAATTTTATAAGATATACACACACACAGTCTTATTTAAAAAAAACTATCCTATTGCATTACATTTTTTTTCTTACATTGAAATGCGCTCTGCGCACACCGGATAAAATGCAGTATATGTCTGTATTATACCTTTTGTGCGTACTCAACTTTATGCTACGTGCTATGCAATTTTTTTCTGCATTATGAAAAATTGCAAAGTTAAGAGTTTAAGTTTTATTTTTATTACTGCTACTAATAAAAAGCGTGAGTGCGACAGTTTTATTCTTTCTTTTGTCTTGCTTTAATATTCAGATTACTCAACGATTACTGATTGCATGTTGAATAATCTGAGTATTAAAGCAAAATAAAAGAAGAATGAAACTGTAGCATAATCACACTTTTTATCAAATGTATAAATTAATATATAAAATAAATATAAATTGATATAAAATAAATTAATAAAAAAATATTATTCTTATTTTTTATTTTAAAAAGCGAACATAAAAATAATATTTTTTATATTAATTTATTTTTATATCAATTTATATTCATTTTATATATTAATTTATTAAATATGTAAAAATTTTACAAGCAATAATTATATTTATTATCATGTATAATAATTATATATAACAATACAGTGCCAATTCATGATATATAAATTATCATAAATTAACTTTATTTTATTTCAAATTAATTAAAAATAATTGTAAATTTTTATATATAAATATTATTAATATTTCTTCATTATTTCTCATTATATATATATATATATATATATATATATATATATATATATATATATATATATATATCACTTTAGACGATCTGCAAAATAAAATTTCGCAAAGCGATAGCAAGTTGTCTCTACTATACATAACTTACAGCAACTTCCTTTATAGAATCTATTCTGTAGGAATTCATGCAGGAAGTTGTTCTAAGTTATGCAGATCAGAAAATGATCGGTTTTATCGCTGTAAATTGAAAGGGCCGGAAGCGATCAAGCGTACCCTAAGATAGATGCTAAAATATCTTTCTATAATGAAGAAATAACGAGATGGCAATATCGAATGAAGATATCGATTGTGATAATGCGATTTTCGCGACTTATTCAAAATGAAATTGATCTATCAATATATAGAAGATAAACTCTTACAAGATTATATTATCGCAATATAATAATTACTAGTGTAATTAAAATCAAATTAAAAGGCATTATATATACATTCGAAAATATATCATATCATCTTGCATATAATTTGAAGCTGTACGTGATTACGTTGATAATCAAATTATTATCATCCTTACATTGAATTATTTAATAAGCGCATTTATTGGTGAAAGCAACACAAGTTGACTTTAGCTCACATATAAATTATTGTCAGCTTTTGGAGAATGCAAACAATGCGACAAATTTATATATGCTGATTGTTATAGGAGGGGGGGGGGGGACGTAAACAATTTTGAAACATACAACAATACCGAAATTTCTCATGTTAAATAAACATTCTGAACAAGAGATTCAGTAAAAACTTTGCGCTAACATTTCACTATTATGATAATTGTTTGTAGAATTAAATGTATAAATACAGAAAGAATATATACATGAATTAAAAAAATGATTATTTATATAATTTACCAGTTTTTATCTCTCACGTAATACTAAATGTATAACTTAAATTAAAAACAATGGAAACATTTATTAAAATGTTTTTATAATTTTAAGAATATCATGCATGACTTTTATGTCAAGACAGTTTTACTATATACTATTATTATTAAATTTGTTAAACATATGTTATATATACCTATATTTATAAATTTGTATATTGTCTTTATATTAAGTCTGCATTCTCTTTCATAAATATATTTAATAATATACTCGAAATATTTTCTTCATTTCTGAAATGTATAAAATAACCAGAGGACAATTCTAAATAAAAAAAGTGTATATATTCTTTATTTTTTATGGATAATGATGTAGAAAAATGAGTAAATAATTGAATAATATTAGCTTCAAACTCTAACACATATTTATAGGATATGTCACAATATTATATATTTAATATTAAATATATATGCATATATGCATAAATAATTTTTACATGTATATGGAATTAATTATTTAAAAATATCAATTTCAGATTAAAAAGATTAGATATTTTATTAATTAAAATTTAATATCCGGAATTACACATTGTTCCCAGCATTCTTGCAAAGTTGAGAAATTATTTTCGTTTCCTTTGCAGCCACCATATGTAAATTTGACGCATTGTTGTTTCTCTGAATCATAGGCGAATCTGATTTCACTTCTTTTACATGGTCCAGTCTCAATTGGTTGGAAGCAACCTATGAAATTCAAGTATTAATGTCATTAAAATATAATATATAATAAAGTAAATATCGCTTTTTTCCAAACAATTTTTGATGAAAAGTATTAATAATTTTTTTTTTAATAAAAAAAATATCTAACATTTTATAATCTTACTACAATGTGTTATAATATACGTACATGTGGAGTAAGCCATTCCATAAGAAAAGATACACACAATAACGGCGAAAAACAATACAATTCTATTGGCGTTCATGTTGTTTGAAATTGTTGGGTAACGTTGTGACTTATCACACCTTGATAAAAACTTAAAGTGTTCGTTAATATCTCATCGAGCTTATATATATATATATATTGAATGTAGCGAAAAATTGATAGAGAACTTTGAGCAAAATATTTATTTATTGACACATATGGCTTCTTGATTCTTGATTTTATCATTATATTTGTGCACACATGTAGAAAAATCCTCTTATTGCGATTATAAAATTAACATATGAATAAAAATTAATTACGAATGGTTACGTAATCAAAAAATATGACTCATTTTGACAGAGAATAATTTTAATTTTTTCTTTAAAATTATAAAGCAAAAATACACTCAAATTAAATTTTTAAAAATAAATAAACACGAATGAAATTTTACAGATACATTTTAAATAAAATAAAATAAAATAAAATAATGATTACTTTAAGACATTTTTTAAGTTTCACAAAAATCAGAAATTTTTTCGATAAAAATAAACGAAAAACTAAAATGTAATCTTATCTCGTTTCATATTTACATGTGGATTTTTAGAGATATGCTTTCTTTATAATATATAATGGCAACAGATGTGAATGCACATCTCTTGAAAAAGTAACAGATTTGTTAACATTACAAAGTGACTGATTATTCATCGAACGACCAAAGTCAGCGTGTTGCTTTTGCCGATAAGCGTTTAACGGCCACTTCGAGTGCATTTATAAAAGTTACGTTCCCGCTTATCTGTAAGTTTCAAGAAATTCGGCCAGTTTCTATGTTGCTGGCACATGAATGCATCTATTTGCATACATTCTCGGAGTACTTTCAAGTTGAGCACGACACGAACCGCGGAGATTAACAGTTTTCGGAACACTTAATAGTTACGACCCAACGTGATCTCGACAATTAACTTGAATCCACACAAGTAAATCTATTTAAGTGATATTTATTTCAATCACAAATTATAGCATACATATGTTATAATAATATATTATTCTTAATTAATATAATCGTATCTTCTTATAACGCAACTTTTTACGTGAAAAAGATTTTAAAAAAGAATTACACAACTTGTTTTTTTATGAGAAAAGAGCAGTAACATTGAATAAAAAATACATGACTGTTCAATTAAAAAAAGAAACATATCTTTCCGCCACGGATAGCGATAACGTCATATCTTCGAAGATATATGAAGCTGCACACGTTACGAAATGCATAAAATGACACATTATTCGGAAGTAATATTGTCGTTAAGGTGGGCGATTTGCACTGATCCCGGGAATCGCGCGACTTCGTTGCGCAGGATGCGATGAAACGAATACAAATATAATGGCGATAATGCCGGTATAACGATGGGGTACATCGCGATCGATACCTCTATGATTTAATGAACGTCGGTGATACAGCGATAACGGGTGTTTTACGATAATATTATACAGTTTGTACCGTCGCGGTTCCACGCCGCGCCATTGTTTGGATCAGTGGAGCTGGACTTCCTTACCTGACCATTGCGGTGAGCATTATTCTTGTCTAAACAATGAAAGTCGTTCAGTTAAATATCAATTGTGAATTGGTTCGCATAGTTAGCCAAAAATATATCCGGCTGTATACAATGGTTGTAACTTGGACGACCAATTATCCGATTTTGGAAATGTATTTTAACTAATAAAGTGATTTCAATAATTTCAAAGAGAAGGTGATTGTGCGCCATAATTTTGGAAATATGCAGACTGAAAATGTCAGAATTGACATTTGTTCTATCTTATTTTTTAATGAGCATGATGTATTTAATCGTTCATTTAAATTATATATTTAAAAGTTGAATGGCTGTATACAATAACTCTATTTATTGGATTTTGATGCTAAATCAATTTTTACACTCTTGATTCAA